GTGTGTGTGTGTGTGTGTGTGTGTGTGTGTGTGTGTGTGTGTGTGTGGACCTTTAAGGTATGAGAGAACTATCATTACTTTGAGGAGCCTTCCCAGAGAACTCCAGCTGTGCTTATGTTGTGGCTCATGAGATGGGTGGGAGTGGAGAACTGCTTTGCAGTTTCCCCAAAGCTCCAGGACAAGCCTGGAGACTTTTAATGAGAGAGGTTTGGGAGAGGTGGGTGGCACAAATGTTTGTTTGCTATCTCCTCCTGAAATAACTATTAAGGAGATAAATGAAATGGGGTAACTGGGAAATGTATCCAGAATAATATATAAATATGAAGCTAAATTTAAGAAAAAGGAATACAAGAATGATACCTGACACCATTTTCAGTTAGGGTTATCACGGGGATGGAAGGTCGAAGGGAAGTTTTAGCAGGATGCTAAGCAAAGAACCGCAGAAAAGAGTAAGTTGGTGCTTGTACAATGGAGAGGAGCAGCCAAGCTTCTCTGATTGAGTGGAGCTGGCAGGCCAGGGGAGCCTCCCTCGGACTGCTGTCAGCTGTGAGCGCAGAGAGGCCAATCACTGACACAACAAAGCTGCCTAAGTGCCACTTCCCCAGCAGGGGGCACCCTAGCCTCCTGCCCTGCGCCACGCTGTGTGCCCCCCTCAGGAAAGATTTATATTTTTAAACAACCTCCACTCCCCAAGGTGACGGGATAACAACCATGCCAAGAGTCCACGTAACGAAACATGACCTGCAGGCCCCCACGCTACACTAAAGATACTTTAATTGAGATGAAACACGATGAGGGCGCTAGGCTCCCCGTCTCATGGAATTACACCGTGTGCCTTTTTGATCTGCAGCAAAGGAGCAATATTCTGGGCCTGTTTTTTTTATTTTTGGATAATAGTACTGATACGTTTTCAGAGATTTGACTGTGCAGCAAGAGCTACAAGCATATTTGAGGCAATGAAACTGGCTGCCGGTAGGATGGTGGGGTAATGAAAACGCTATCGGTCTCATGCGCCAGAGCAAACAAAGGAAGACGTCTCCACCTGCAACAATTAGCGGATGCAAAACTGTGTGCGGTCGGAGTGTAAGATCTACAAAAAAAAAGAGGGTCGAGACTTCACTGCCAAGTTTTATTTCTTTAGAATTCTGATCTTTTAGTCCAAAGGACAATCTGACAGCCAGCCTTCAAAAGACAAACCCATAAAGTATTTATGTGTGTGCCTGAGGTCCAGCATGTTCAGACAGCCACTGAAGAATTGATTAAAGGAGGAGAAAGAATTGTTAAGTGTATTAAATCTAAACCAAGGCCAAATAAGAAAATGTTCAGTCTGAGCCACAGAGGTAGACAGAACCAAGATTGTCTTTAGTGATGACACAATGAGAATAATAAAATTGAAAAAGACTTCTTACAAACACCACTGACAGTGCGTCGGTTTCATCACTACGGCAGCTTTGGGGTTTTTTATGCTAGATTTCTCAGGTTGTATTATGAATAACAGGAGATCTGAGAAGCCAGCATTTGGAGACTATGTTTGTGATGGCGATTCATGAGTCCAGATATCCGTTCGGTGTATGGTTGGTTACATAAAGATGTCTCACCGTTCGCTGTATGGTTGGTTACATAAAGATGTCTCACCAGTTTCGAGAATTCGTCGTTGTAGCAGCCCAGGATGGAGAAATGCCTCGTCTTTACACGAGCGGATCTGTGTTCCCACCAGCTCTGAGTTGGTGGCCAGTATTCTGGCGCTCTCCTCGTTCAGGTTGACCCCGGCCATGGAGGCCACGTCGTTGATGTCGTCATCATCTCTGGAAAAAATCAGATGGCGGACTCTTTTCAAAATTTTAGCTGAATTTACTAAAGTAATCAAATAAAAATAAAAGCAAAACCAGATTGGTGTTATTGGTGATGGAGATCACCAATTATTTTCAAAACTCCACAAACCAAAAGCAGTCACTGCATTAAACATCCATTTAATACATTAACAGATTTTAGGGGTTTAGGGGTGGCTGTCTTCACACCCTAAATTAATTTCAGGAATTCCAAATTAGATGAATTATTGTAATGTACTATAAGGTGCTATATTTGACGCAAAAAAATTGTTGATTGTTGAACCAGAGGGACAGAATTTGGACCTAAAGCTGAATGTCAACCCATATGGAGCCCATAAACTAAATTGTATGTCTCTCTAAATTTGGAAAAGCAGAGCAAAATGAATTTTGGTCTTGGCCCTCCTATGGATCTGAGGATTTTTAGAACAAAACAAACACACACACACAAACATACATACATACAATAAATGGCAAACCTGCAATTACATCTGCTTTGGACTGAAAAGCATCAATTCATAACATCTACAGGACCAACTGCAAAGAATGCAGAGGGGCTGGTTAAAAAAGACACTCAGAGGAAAGGTTTTTGGGCTCACTGTTAAACAAATCTTCTATCTTCTACCATATACAATTTACAAAAAACCTAAACTTCCCACTCCGTTTTAGTAATAATGTGCCAACAAATCATCATTTCTTACTTAAAGACTGTCTCATAGATCATGCTTTTCTCGTGAATTATGGATTATTTTTTTTCTGCATGTCTTCCTTTCATTTAAAGAATGATAAACGTTGGCGTTGATAGCAAAGACATACCATTCCAGGGAGAAGCAGGGAGACAAAGAGCAAGTCTCGCTCTTGAGGGTTGGCAATACGAAAAACTAAATTTGCACAATGCTCTGCACCACTGATAGATTATTCTGGATATAATGATCATTTCTGGCAGGAAAAAACTTTATTACCATATCTATATGCCAGTGCTGTTTAGCAGAGACAAGAGAGGATACACTTGACAGTCTGAGATTTGCCCGTGTCCTGTGAAAGGCTGCGAGTTTCACTGTGAGTTGACATTATGAGAAACTGCCCAATTATCATGACACTTGGCAAGCCCCGATTCAGATTCTGGCCTAAATTAGCAAAGAGGCGACATGTTGTGCTTACAGGACTTGCCCAGGGGGAAGCAGTGGACTTTCTGACTGGCTTTGATGGAGAGAACCACAGAACAAAGAACCACAGAACACACACGGAGTGGCCCGCTCACCTCCACAGTCATTTATGTTCACGCCACTAGTGTTATTTGGTTGTGTTTCCACGCGCTCTTTGTAAATGCTTGTGTGCAGCATAGTGCCAGGAGTTCATTCAGGCATCTCGGAGCGTTGGCAAACACAACATCAGCCAACTCCACCCCGCCGAGGCCCCACTGCTCGGTGGTGCGGCCACGGAGAGCCAATATGAAACTTGACACAACAGCGGGAGGTTGACAAAGACAATTAGAGTACCTCCAGGGACCTTATACACCTCTGCCTTCTCTCCTCTCTTCCTCCTCTCCCCCAGCTCCCTAATTGAGTCTTCACAGAGATAATCTAAGTTACAGGACAAGCACTGATACATACATGGGATTGTGCCCCGTGCAGCACTTAAGGCTCTGGGCACCATCGTGTCCTCACAGATAACTTGACCTTCCCTTTAAAGCAAACATGCTGGAGGCCACATTAACTCTGGAGAAAAACAAGGCTGCTTCTTCAACAACCTCAGAAATGACTCAAAATTTTAACAAAATAGATTCCAACCCAAGCAAATTGTCTATCAGGAAACCTGATTGCATCTGAGTCATTTCAGTGAAAGAAATACGGTCACCTCCCTAAACTACAAAACAATGGTCACAGATCACAAACAATCACTACATTCTATGTATGTGGTCTAAATGTTTAGACCAGCCTACAGATTCTTCTCTTTATTTATCATTAAGACGAATCCAAGACAATACTTTTAGTGCCTTAAAGTGGAATATCACTTAATTGAATTCACTACTTTTGAAAAAATATAATTTGAAACATAGTTAACATATACTAGCCACCCCTAATTATGATCTAATAAATATCTAATAAAGATCTAATTGATACGTTCTCTCCTACTAATCCAGAGGATGGACCTTCTAAAGATAATTCAGTGGATCCTTGTCTTCAGGTATATACTGTAATTCATTGGTTTTAAAATGTCCTCTCCATCCCAAAGCCCTGCACTTTTCTGGCATGAAGATTTCACTAATAATTGTTGGCTTATTAAATTAGAGGGCTGGTTATACATTGTGCCAGAAGAGGCAAACTGAACTCAAACACTGACATTAAACTAAGCAGGTTGCTTAACTTTTTCAAATGATCTGTAGCAGACTAATGTAAAACAAAAAAAGAATAAAGCATCTCCTAGGTTTTGGCGGAAAGAACCATTCAAACTTCTATTACACCACAAGCCATATACACCTATACACACACCTAACAGTATAGTATTAAAGGCTACGTGTTTTTTTTCTCTATAATACATACTGGTGGATGCATTGTTGGGTTTGGAGTCCTTCCCAACACACATACAAGCATGTCACCCAAGAACCTGTCACCCAAGAAAACTGGGTATTGTACCACCAACCTTTCAAATAGCAAAACTCTTGTTCTTCTTGAGCTACAACGGAATAACTATGTGGCATGAACCATCAACCAGCATCCAATAAGACCGGGGTCTTTGTCTCTGATGGCCTGGTTTCAGGGCTATTTTGCATTGCCTCGGCTCAAATCAAATGAGAATGCCACAGACACGGCTGACATTAAAAGGAAGGAATGAAAAATGAAATGCAAAATATTCCCCAACTGCACCTCTGCACTAATAAAGCAGAGATGTAATTAGCTTCCACGAAAGCTAAAGAGCAGCCTCTTGGTTATTGGTTTGGCTCTGCTGGAGGGTAAAAAACCAGTGGCCACATGAATACATATGCATGTCGTTTCCATATCAAGCTTGTGTTTCAGCGAGGGCATGCCATGGGTGATGGGAGGACTGCACTTGTCATTTGCACATGGTATGTCTGTGTGTGTGTGTGTGTGTCTGTGTGAGGGTTTACAGGGTGCACCCAGACCTGCCATGTCCCTTTATTTAGTGGAGCCAGCCACCACCCCCCTCCTTCCCCGTGTGGATAAAGGTCTCTGTGCCCTGGCAGGGGGACCCGATTGATCCTGGTGACACCAAGGCTGTGCATGTTGTTGCTGCTACGCCGTTGGAGATGTATTCTCCCAAACACAGCCTGGGGTTCACTAGGTGGCTGATTGGATGTGTGCTCATGGCCCACAGGGCTCTCATTGAAGCAGCGGTTCAATAGAAGACAAACAGATCCAGCAATATGCCAAACAGCGAAGGATTTCTGACGAGTAACTGCGTGGAACTTACTCGCTGGGTTTTCATGACCAGGGAATATGTTTAATTTTCATATTTCGTATTATTTTACTGTCCCTGTAGGGACCTTTGTCGTGGACTATCTGATGGTTGCCAGTTTACAATAAATAAAATGGTCTTATGTGTATGATGCATTGGTGGGGGCATTCGAAAAACACTTTTTGATGAGTCTAATGATTTAAGTACATAATTATTCAAGTCCAATTAAGTATTTTTGGCTTAAAACTCTTTTCAGTGCCACCATTTTCTACGTGGAATGTTTTCAGCCTCTTTACTGTGGCACGGTATCCAATCTGGACATAATGTCATTTTGCAGCTGTCGTGTTTCCAAATTACTGTATAAAAATTTTTGGGAAGGCAGCGTTCAAGCTCTAACTGAGCCCTATTTATTTGCAAAGTCCTTCTTAGCAAAGCAGGCACGTAACAGAGCCATTTGGAGAGCAACAAAAGATGTAACCACAAAGGCACATTTACAGAAAGAAGCTGGTGGAGTGCATTTGCTACTCTGGCAAAGCGAGTGCTGAACCAAAACTTTTTGCGTGCTTCACACACAACACCTGTGTGTGTGTTCTCCTATGCAACGACGCCAGCATTCGCTTCTAAATGCGTGCAAATTGGTGACCACCGTGCAGGATAGGGCTAGATTTGCAGGGCTGAGCCTGAGCTCGGCGGCTGGCAGAGAGGGCTGAGGGCCTGGGCCAGCTCGCCAGTGATTACAGCGGATGTTGAGTGTTTACAGAGAGATGAAGAGGGAAGGAGGGGGCACAGAGACAGCTGCTTTTACTCTGCACTGTGAACCACACGCACACACACACACACAGACATCGACACGAGCACTTACACAGGAGGCTGTAGCTACATTGGAAACCCCACAAGCCCTGCAGTGAGTATGTGTGTGCTTGTGCTACAGCTGGCCCGCTGGGACCAGTGGTTCAGAGTGACAGCCATACACATATCAGTACACGACGGCAGCCGAACACGGTTCAGATCGGGGGGAGAGGAGGACGGTTGTTGTGACTGACCAAGTTGTTTTTTCTTTACAGCTGACATGCAGCCTTATTTTTTCCTCTTATGTGCTGATTTTTGAGTAGCTCTGGTTATGTTTGTCCACTTTTGTCATTCACAAGTGACTGGCCAAATCACGTCGCTCACACTTGCGTGAATAAATCTGGAATGATTTGTAATGTCTGACTTCAATTTTCGAGGGGTATCAGACTCCTTTATGCAAAGAATAGTCATCCATTGTAAGTTGTATGAAGCCTTTGTGTGAATCATCTTGTAAAACTGAGCTTTGCTTCAGCACGTTTCTATCCTCAGGTGAGATTTGTGACAAATAATGAACAATAAACAGTGTTGGAACAACAGAACAGTTTAAAACATGTTTAAAACATGTTTCGTTCAGGTAAACTATGAATAGAGATGGCAGAAGCCATAAAAGCACCTCTATATTAATAGCAAAGCCCAACTAAATGTCGATACTCTCAAAAGACCATCTGAGGTGCAAACCACCATCTCCCACACAAAGTATTCAGTGTGGTTCCTCCCTGACTTTGGTAATATTGGGCCATTTTCTGATCCATTTTCTGAACCATTCATCCATTCAGAGAGAACCCACTCAGACACAGGGACCACACGCAAACTCCACACAGAAAGGTCCTGGTTCCCCCCCAGGACTTGAACCCAAAACCCTCTTGCTCTGAGGCGATGGTGCTACCCACCACACCACCGTGCCGCCCCGTGCCTTTACTAATCTTTTTTAAATGATATGTACATGTTTTTATCTCATTTGAAAATAGAAAAAAAAATCAGACTGCGTCTCCATAATTTTGATGTTGAATTACCTTGCAGGGACAAAGCTGAGCTTTTATGGGGAGACTAAAGGCATGATGGTGCTCTGCTTTCAGTATGACACAGGACAACCAAAAAAACGGACTGCAGCCCGGCAGTTGTTTCATCTCTCTTATATTGTTTCAATAATTGCTTGAAGCGGAAATTGTAATTGAAAATATTATTTTCTGTTAATTGCACAGCCGTTCAGACTGACACACAGACACACACAAACTCACAAAACCGCAGATAAACAGTGGGAGACAGTTAGTAAAGCCAAGCACAATGAGATGTGACTTAAAGTAAAACATTCGATGGAAGTTCACAGAGAATGTGTTAGTTCGAGGAAAAAAAGCCACAGATGTAGAAACAAATAAACAGACGGAAGCGAGAATGATGTGGAAAGTGCATTGTGTAACTCGTAGAATCACAAATGCAGAGCGGGCATAATATCACCTGACCTGTGTGAGAAAGAAATGTGCTACGTGAAGCTGTTGCTGCGTGTTTATCGGGCTTCTGTTGAAACCAGTGCCATGTTTGCAGGCCACTGTGATCACCGCAGGGGGGAAAAGGTCGTCAGTAACAAGCGAGCCTGACAGCTTAATTACCAACGCAGCTAAAGATTTATTGGTTTATCAATCAGAGCCCTGGGCGCTGCCTTTCCCCTCAGGAGACGTGGGCCATTACCATGAACCCGTTGGCCCATGTGACCCAGACTCTTCTTGCAATGGCCCAGTCACACCGGGGTCATCCTAAACCCCCTGTTCCTGTCAATATATGCATACATGCACACCAGTAAATATTCTTGGATATCTGATCCAAAGCCATGACATAAAGATGGAAACAGGAATCTATGAAAACATATGCGTACACGCTACAGTGCAAATACTGCTCAAACGTACAGGGTAACAAAGCTGACACAAAACACGGAACACAAAGGCCAGCATGTGGGCGATGGACCTTTTATGTTCTGAGACAAAGGCCTGGCTGAGGCAGAGACAAGACCAGAGAAAGAGCAAAGCTGCAGGCTAAATACGGCATGTTTGACTTAAACAAAAGGTATTTTCAGAATCGTGTCCAGAAATTCCAACCATCTGGACACAATTATCTTTTTTCTAAATTAAGATTTAGCTCATTTGCAGTCCTGCCAGTGAGCTTTGACACTGACACAACGAGGGCGAGAGTGAGGGTGATCTATCGGTTGGCAGAGTGTTGCTGTATGGTGGGCGCGGAGAGAAAGGGCCGCCGATCAGCCAGCCGGGCAGAAAGGCAGGCATGCAGCCAGGTGGCAAGGCAGGGAACCCTGATAAACACTCATAGCCCTGGCTGTGAGTGTAGCCAGTAGTCATGGAGAAGCTGCTCAGTGAAATGCTGCCCCCATGTGACGGCAGACAAAAACAGCACGTGCTCAACAGTCAGTCTCCTGGTGAGAGGAGCTGTACCTGAAAGAACCTCCTCCGGGGTCGTTGAGCTTGTTTTTCTGATTCCCGGAGATCTGCACAGGCAGGACCATGGGACTTTTGCCCGGTTGGATGATGGCTCCCTTCCCCATCGTGCCTGTTAACAGACATAAAAACAAAACAAAAAACAAAGAAGAAACCACTAAACAAAAAGGAAAAAAGTAATGTTATCATTGAAGTGTCCCTTTCTATCTGCGTCAAAAACCCTCCTGTCTAACGACTACCTTCAGCTGTCTCTGTCATCCTCACAGGGGGAGACGGATGGGTGAGGGAGTGTGTGTATGATTGGGAGGGGGTACTGTCGTTCTCCCCAGGTTGGTTGCGGAGAGCGTTGCTCTGTCAATATCACTGCGCTTCACGGGCTCTCCTTACACTCCTAAACCGCATCCTGCTCCAAGACACGTTTTCCAGAGAGGCACAAGGACTGCCAGAGTGAATTTAAACTTGATTTTAACAGGCATGTTCCTCGCCAAGAGGCACAGAAAAGTATTTTTAGAACTATCCCCGCATTCCAATTTATGGGCATAAAACAACCTACAGATCTTTCACTGCAGGCAATCTAGAGGAAGGGGGCAGATCAAATTTGTATGCACCTCTGAACATACACAGACAGACACACACAAGCATACACACTCAAGCAAAAACAGGTGAAAACTCATGCACACATTACTACACACACCACTTGAGAGCGCGCGGCTCTCTTAGGGGAGCGTTACACCCGGTTGGTGTTGGGGCGATATTTGTGGGCTTCTGTGGGAAGAGTGTTTGTGAATCAGTGTGAGTAAGCTGCAGAGCAAATGTTTGAGAAGCCTCTATAACCAGACAGGGAAAAACACCTGTTCTTTCCATGGTTCCTGCCTGTTTACACATCTCACAGCTCAATGAGAGAACAATTCGTTTCACTAATGACTACCTGACGATTAACCTGTGTTCTTGTTTGTTGTGGCGACTGGGACAGTTGTGTTTTCTTTATGTCAGGGCCTCTTTAGAAAACATAAAACATGAGGGTCAACAGTCATCTCACCCCAGTTTTTTTTTTTCATATTCTGAGTAAGACACAAATCCTCGGATCATATCAAATATGGCTGAAGAAGCCCTACGGGTGTCTTACCCTGTGGTCTGATGGACTGTGTGATCACCATGGGCATCCGGACATGGCCACCGACAGCTCCTCCCGTCTTGACCCCCTGAGGAGGAAAAAGTGAAGGGAGGGACAAAAAAACAAATTGAAAGCAAAAGTAGGACAAATTTATTTTTTTCGCTACTGACTGTGACCTTTATGTTCTTTTTGATGCCGGTAAAAACAAAGAAAATATAAAGTAAAAAACCCTGTGAGAGAAAAAGTAGAAGAAGTCTTACAAGTAGAAGAAGTAGTGACAGGATAATAGGGAGAAAAAAAAGTAAGAGCAAGGAGGTGGGGGACTATGCTGGGCTATTAGAGTCACTTCCTTCCTTGGTAGCAGCTAAAGGCCGAGCCTGGGGCCCAGCCATCCATTCCTACCAGTTTGCTTCTTGCTGCATATTTTTTAGCCTTGTTTTCCATTCCCTGACACATTCTATATTACTGTTCAAGCTACTGAAAACAAGACAGAGGCCATTTTTCCCAGAGATCCACTGGAGGGGTTTACAAAAGTGGGAGGGGAGGGGGGAAAATGCATTCATAACAGGCAGAGATAGGCAATACCTCTGGCCAGCCAGCGACACAGTTAACAGAGGGGGGGGGGGGATATACCCAGGTAGGAAGTTTGAGAATCATGGGAAAAAAGGAATAAACCGAAAGCAGGACTTATTCTATTGGATTTAAAATGTGTTCTCCCATTTCTCAAAAGAAATGTTACATGAGAGGGTGGATGTGGAACTCAAATAGAAAATTAAAATGTGACTAAACAGGCCTAATCTTTTTTTAATTGCTCACCCCCATTAGTCTTTCTTCTTCATGTCATTCACAGACCCATAATGTACACAGATCAGTCATGACATAAAAAAAACCCACTGACAGGTAAATGGGGCCCTGGTCTTGTTAGGATGCTGCGTTTTGCCAGGAAAACCTGTTACCGCTCTGCTGACACTTGCCCAAAGGATTTGGGTGCCAGGCATTCACACGCTCAGATGTTCTCATTTCTCTGACCAGTAGTGGTTCTTTTGGTGGCATGAAGATGCAGTTGGTACTGGGCTGGTGGCCGTAATGCTACTGACGACAAACGTACAGCCTAATGTCACATGCAATGCATTTATGTATTTATACAGTGCTGCATCGAAAAATGAGCTTCTATAGTCAGTGGTAATGTGGCCTACTTGCATCTCTCAGCCATTCGCGGCTTTATCTAGTCTACGCAGCTCATGTATTTGCCCCAAGGAAGTTCAAGGTCCAATTCCCTTACAGCTAGTGGTGCATCTCAAAAAGAAAAGAAAAAAAACTTACGAATGTTTTAAGTTTAAAACCAACAACCAATGAAAAAAACACCCTCACTGCATTTCAAAGCCTAAAAAAAAGCCCTTAAAGCATCAGGAAACTTCTTTACCTCGATATTACCAGTTTCATTTGGTCCCCGTTCTGCTGTAGTAAGATCTCATCTTTGTTTTTCGTTGTGTTTGACTTAATTCAACAATCTGTCTGGTTCTGGACTGCTGGTGTCCCACTGGCAATCGCAATCATTAGCTAATGTTTGGTGCTCGTCAGTGTGTGTGCACGCGTGTCTACTGTGTCAAACTCTGGACAGACAGCGCGAGAGACCAGAGGCATGTTCTGGACATAGACTGCGGCTGCCACATTGCTTTAAAATTGACCTGGGGCTGACCTAGTTCCCTCGCTTCACCCTTCAACGGGTAGAGGAGGGGAAAAAATTAGGAATATGAGGGGGGCAGCCTGAAAGAGGCAGAGACCAAAAGGGGTGGGGAGAGGGTGGATGGGTGGGGGTTAAAGACAAAGCAAAAATGGAAGGTGGAGCGGGAGAGAAGAGGAGTGAAGGAAGAGAGAGTGAATGTGAAGGAGTTAAAGAGGTAGAGAAAAACCTCTAGCTGGCCGCGCCCTCCATCCGGAGCAGACCAATCAGAGCCTGACCTCACTTGACCTAACCGTGGACGTCTGTGTTCTGTAGGCTTGCTTCAGTGTAGAAGTACGCACAAACACACAGAGACAGCATCCGCTGCTCTCTAATGCGGTGCAGATGTGAGCTGAGCGAGGCCGTTGCTTTCTAGTGCAGAACCCTGCAGGTTCCCCGGTCTTATTTCAGCTGTCTTCCCACACTATCGCTGGATAACATGCTCCTAACCCACAGTCACACCACGGACGTGTGGGTCAGTTGGCATGCCAATGCATCGTTAGCAATACAGCATAGCCAAAGGGGTCTGAAACCTCTGAATAATTGAGAAAAGTACAGCTCTGCTTTAACTAAAACATACTTCCATGTGAAAAAAGTATCAAGGAAAGCGAACACACAGTTTTTTCTTTTGCAAACGTCACATCTAAAACGAAACCGTCTTTGAAAGAGTGCATCTCTCTAAACTTTTGTAGCTCTCCGTTTTAAAACATTCTCGGGGCAGCTGAGCATGTGTTGGCTCTACTGGTTGAGGTTCGGGGTGTCCCCGGCCTGACTGATAGCCCTCCATTCATCTCTTTCTGCTTAAAGTAGGTTGCGCACAGACAAGGACCCCAAGGTGTGCTTAAGGTCTTTGTCTTTCTGTATGGCAAAGTTAGGATCTGTTAAATGAAATCCCAAAGATATAACATGACACTGCGTGATGGAGTGATACCCATGCTGTTTCAGTAACCCCACAAAACACCTTTGTTCTCATTCTTACCTATCTGATAACAAACGTATATCCAGTGGTTGCAGTCAAAGATCTCGGGCTTAGCCTTTTTTGGACATGACTGCTTTGTGCCAGTTATCCTCAGTCCAATGGTGCATTTCTTACTGAGGTGATGATATAATCATCAAATTTCTTAAATGATTTATCTATGCCTATGAAAAATAGATGCAGAGTTACCCTTATGGAGATGTCAAGTTTAAATCAACAAGTATTACGCTTCAGAAGACATATGATAACAAGAAATAGGTGTAAATGGGTCAAAATGCCAAAGCTACAGAGTTTAAAATTTTAGAGATAAATTTGTATTTTGCATATTACCGTACTAAGATTGTACAAAACTTGAAACAAATTAAAGGAAATGTAAACCTCAGAAAAGAAAGATTTAAAAAAAAACTTCAATATATGATTGGTAAATTAATTTAAACCTTTCAACAGCATAAACAAGTATACTATAATTCCTTTTCTCCACTTTGCTGTATTTGGGAAACACAAATAAATTTAGAACATGATGATGGCAAAGGGGGAGGCAAAGGAAGGCCAAAAAGAACCTCATAAAGAGTATGTCAGCATTCTGGAACAGCAGATTACTTGGCTGCAGGTGAGTTTGTCTGGAGTGAGTAAAAAGGACCCTCGACTAAAGGTTTAGTCTTTCCAAACACAGATAAACAGCAGCTCACCACTTGGTGCTTAACTTGGTCAAAGATTCATATCTAAAAAGAAAAAACAAAAAAACAAAAACAAACGCAGCTCTTTTATATTCTACGGAGCATAACACTGTGAAGGGATTCAGGAGGTCTGGGGGAAATCTCAGCACCAGGAGGCCAAGGACAGAAACCGCTGTTGGATTCACATGACCTTCGAGGCCTCAGGCAGAACTGCATGAGAAAGCATTGCCGTGCAGTCACGGACCATCCAGCCAAATGAGCTCCGAAACACATTTAACAGAAACATTTTTAGTCCTAAACTGTCTGATGCTGCATCCTGAAATGTAACCTGAAACACCACCAGCACTTTTATCAGATGGTTAATAGTGTAACTACTGGTTTGAAACATGTTCCAATTCCTTAACACCAACATCAGCTAACTGACAGGCTGGTAGTCAGTACCCCTATTGGTTACATACACCATTACATGATTAACATTTGTATTCTGAATTTGTATGATTTTAGTCTTGGGATCGACAATGTTTGAAGGATCGGGAAGCCACCGTTTTTCTGATTGATGATGGGAGATGCCAGATTTTGTCCAAACTTCTAAAATTGAAGATATATGAAAGATAAATTAAGTGGGGGGGGGGAATGCAGGACAACATAAGTCTTTGGAGGAACCTGGTTGAGGATCACCAGCTCCATTTCAACCACTGGCTGTGTTGGTAATGGATAAGAAGCGTAAGTTTGATCTTAGGAGCTTTATAAAGTCAACACTGTTGCAGACGTGTTTGCACAGGTCCAACTGCTGTGCTCTGTACGTACCATGGCAGCCTGGGGTCCCAGCGTCCCGGCGGGCAGAGCGCTGGCACCTGCGATGGTGCTGACGCTGTTGGGGTGGCGTATACGGACAGCTGGCCCCGCCACGATGGCGGGAGGGGTGCCTCCGCACGGCGGTTTGACTCCCTGCTGCGGGGGCTGGGTCAGGGACTGCTGACTGTTCAGCAAAGACAGCCTCAGGGCCGGGAGGCTCTTCTGTTGACGAACGGAGTCGGGTCAGAGTTTGCAGTGGCACAGCCGAACGCACGTGCACCCCAAAAGGACACAGACAACAAACACTGCTGTGTTCACTGGGTAATTTAGCGAGCCATCACCGGAAAAAAAACATGGCTCAGGGCGAGAATCTTTTCAGCATTTATCACAGTGAACAAAAAAAACGTTCAAATAGTTAAAATAAGAAAACTTTGACGGTGTTGGACAGTGCACATAGCCTGGATATAAACAGTTTTTGATAAGTAAACACCATGACCTGGGAAGCCATGATGCGTATTTCAGGCGGCGACCTAACATTGGATGACAACATGTGTTTGTGGCCGAGGCTGGGCGGTCCAGTGCCTTGATGTGACGCTCATCACAGCTGGCTGAAGGAACCCACTGGCAACTGGCAGGGACAGCTGCAGGGGCCGATGTCACACACAGTCAGAAGTCAGGCCTGAGGGAAGTGTGTGTGTGTGTGTGTGTGTGTGTGCTTCTCTCCACTGTCAGGCCGAGCATCCCTGGCCCTGGTGCCGAGGAAACGGCTACTTTAGGGCAGTCCGATTAGGAAAACATAAGAGAGGTCCAGCTTAAAAAGCCAGGTTAAGCGCTGGTTTAAAGGGTAGGTGAGGATTCAGGTAACAAGGAGTCAAATTCCAGTGGAGCTAAGGGGCTTCTTTTACTGACACGGAATGGTTCGAGGTACAGGCTTCAGTGTCAGGAAGCCAGTTCAAAGAATCGACATTAGAGGTCAGTTTTGTTCAATTGAGGATGAGCTGCACAACAAACTCCTGTCTCCTGTCGGTGAAAGAATAAGCCTGTAAAAGGAAAAACAGGTTTACAGGCCAGAACCCCACCTTGAGAAAGGGCACCAGGTAGGGCTGCGGCGAGGACTTGAGCTCTGTCTGCAGCCGACTGGTGAACTCCTCCGGCTCAATCTTGGCATCCTGTTGGTTTGAGAAAAACAGAATGAACTCGACTTTGTGGGACGGGGCCGAAAAATAAATATGTCATGGTGACTTGGATGCATTATGGTGAAAAACCATTACTGGATAAGACGATCAAACATTCTACTCCGATTCTGGAACCTCGGGGTGCATCTGAACATGTAGAGGTATTCTTGCGGAAAATTAATGGCAGAGACAGATGATTTTGGATAAAAGTTCCTTGCTGCCATCTGCAGGTAGGAAGTATTCAGTACAAAGCTATTAAAGTTTCAAAGCTGACTACCATTTACATGTTTTTTTTACACACAAAACAGGGGCAGGTCAATGCTTGTGTTTTGTCATGATCCTAAGGTCAATGAGACCCACTGGGAATGCAGAGTATATAAATCCATCATTTCCTTGAGAGCTGTAATAACAATGCCTATTTGTTTAGCTTGTGAAACTCACCAACAGGTCCTGAACCAGTGCCTTAACATTCTTGGACGTCTCAGGGGAGGGCGAGTTGTGGGATGCCAGTTTGATGAGCGTGGCAAGAAAATTCTTACACTTCTTCACATTCTCCTGCATTTCCTGTGGAAAAAAAGGACAATTATTTCCTCTTTGAAAAAAAAAAAAAGCAAACAGGAGTTATTCTGAGCGGTGAGTAAGGAATTCCTATGTGTTCACAAGTGCTCAAATCATCCATCTGGCCTGCCTTTCTGTCTTTGTGTTGTTTCACACATGTTTGTGTACCTTTGTGTCATTATGCATGTCTATGTGTTCCTGACTGCACATAGGCGGGAGTTCATGGTGAGTTTATGCCTCTCTGCGTGTCCTTGGGTCGGCACGCGCTAATGCGAACGCCTGAGTGTGAACGTGTGTGGGCATGTGTGAGACGCTTTGTCCCTGCCCAGCTGTGTGTGACGTGGCGGGGCCGTGGGTCCGGGGCTCGGCTCGTGACGCTGCGAGCCTCCTGGCATGCTGCGATAGTGCCCGAGCGCTGTCACGGCGGCGGAGCGCACGGACCTGGGACACGACGGGGGCTCCGGGGGCCGCCGCCGCCACGCCCGGCTGAGCGGGCTGCGCCGGCTGGGAGGCCGCCTGGGCCGGGGGGGCCTGGGGGGCCGTGACCGCGGGGGTCTGCTGCGGAGCCGTCACCGCCACGGCCGGAGCCACGGGGCCCTTCTGGAAGAGCAAAAAGGAAGAGACAGGGATAAACAGGACGTGACGCTTGGCTCGCAGCAAGGCCACGGAGAACAGGAGGCGGGCGCCACAGCGCTCCTGTCACATCTGGTGTCCCGACTTTAGTGGACATCTCTTAACAGACAAGGAGGAGGAAGGGGGAGGAGGTGACAGGCAAGAGGCTGGAAAATACAGCAGGACAGCAAAGCTTTCCTGGTCACCTGCCTGACAGGGATGATTCATCTTCTCGGGAAGACTTGCAACCGGTAATGCAGGTCATTTCCTACACATATAGTCATTTGTGAGAGTGTATGAAAATTTTTTTTTGGACCACTTGGTCCATTACGATCAACATTAGAAAAAAAAAATGTTTTTAAAAATCCTCTCTTACAAACACAGTAGGGCTCTAAGCTGCTTCACAACCTGCTGTGTAAGCGTGAGCTATTAGGGATTCTGGGGCAGGATAACATGGACTCTGTGTATAAGTGATGTTATCTCACAGGGCGGAGTGCAGGGCAAGAGGAGGAGGAGGAGGAGGAAGAGGAGGAGGAGGTCTGAAGGGCAGGACTGGAAGGAGTGGGAGAGGGAGAAGGCGCCATCTTGGCCGGGGTCGAAGGACACTGCCTGGTGGTCTGAGAGGTCACAGGAGACTGCTGTAAAGAAAGAGAGCATCGAAATAAGAAAAGACCAGTGGCATGCCCCGCAGACAGATACAAAAAGGTCATGGCCGCGTGAGAGGTGGGAATACACTGGTGGTGATGAAGACTGGAACTCAGGAAAGCATGTGTGGCTGGGTAAGGATGCCGTCACACTGGCACCGCTGGAGACTGATAGCAGCAAACATCTGCAGCATGACTCCACGCAGCAACATTTCTACAATAGTCTAATACTCAAGAATTAGATTTCATAGGAAAGAAATTGTAAGACTGGGCACCGTGCCTCCTCTTTTCCAAACTGCTTACAGATAACCCGCCATATTCTAATAAATTCCAATATCCCTTTTATTTAATTTCAGAAATAAAGTATTTTTCCAGCATGAATGTACAGAAAAACCAATGCGGAGGATGTAGAATTTGAATGATGATGCTTTTAGGCCGTGGGCCAGAATCTGTACGATGACTTTTCGTTCTAACTTTTTGGGGGCAACTTTCCTCCAGTTTAATTAGATACTTTGGACTTCAGTGATCTCAAAAAGCCAATGTTCCCATGTTTTCACTTGCACATTAATTAATTACGGCCAATGAAAATTTCGGTAGTTCCACATCTGGCCTATAGGTGGCTAAAACTAAGAAAATATCCATATTTTTTTGTTTTAACCAAGGGATCTTTACCAAAATACTTTAAAATAATTAAGGTTGATCATTATAAAAGGTTTTTTATGCAAAAACTGCTGGAATCAACACGGAAATGCAATTTTGACGTTTAGATTTTCGCTGCCAGAGAGCCACTGAACCTACACTACTACATATTTTCCACTTTATACAGCCATAGCAAGACAAAGGACAATCATTTAATATGCAAAAACCTTGTTTTTTGTCAAAATAATTTCTTAATAATTTAATTATTGAAAAACTGACACCACTTTCCTTCATATTGCATTTATTAACTTAATGAGAAAAAAAAATGTGGGGTACTTTCAGCCTAAAAAATAATCAAAACAACATAATACAGTTGAATAAAGCCTAATTATCACAAGTAAACTTTGCTATAAAAATTGAGTAATATATAATTTTCACTGTCAAATAAAACTAACTAAGGATCCATATTTATATACAATATAAAAATCGGAACCTCTCATTTTTACAGTTATATTATTTCGATCTTAACCTTTCCTCGCAACATCATACTGCTAAATCCAAACATATATTCACATCATATTATTTAAATCCAGACCTTTCATATTTATATTTTTTACATTTTCATCAAAAACTTATAACATATATGAAAAACATTACAACTCATCATCTGAATCATCCAAGTCCTCATTATCCTTTGAATATATCCCTTCCACATCATTCCGATTTTCAATCATAACAGGACAGCTGCACAGTTAACACAATGGCAGCGGTCACTACACGGCAAATGACCCCTTTTGCATGGACAGATTTGTGTAGTACATGCATTTGTCTTGCACTTGCAAGATATGTCCATTGTGACATCAGATGGAGCTGGGGGATTTACCATCCAACAATAGGAGAGCACTCCATCTTCAAAGGACCAGCCATGGCTTTCTAGGTTAGGGGCGTTAATAAACTGGTCGAAACACCTTCTATAAATTGCTAGCTGGTATGCAGCTCGCTTACAATGTTGTCAGAGACAATCATCATTTGGTGGAAGAGATTTATCTGATTTACAGAGAAGTTTAAACATTTTAAACCTGGTATCTTTAACCCGGTTACAGTTTTTCTGTCCATACAAGTGACGAATTCTTCAAAGCTGATTGAAAAATTTATCATCAACATCCCAATTTGTCCCAAGAATTTGAAAGAAATTAACAGCTGGCTCTGATTCAAGCATCAGTCTTAAGGCTTTAACTTTTCCTTTAAAGGGACTTACTGTGTCATCCAGTGAAAACATGAAGACCAACAAAAGCTCGACCTTTCCTTGGACCATGAAGACTTGCTAGATGAGAAATATTTACAATACGAGTTTTGTTGCCAGTCCCTGTCCTAAAATAAATAGTACTCTCAAAACAATGCACACAACCCAAAGCCAAGACCATAACATCAGTGCCTGGGCTCAAGATAACTATCTTTATATTCCAAATAAGCATGCTTTGCATGAGGTAGAAGTCTGGTATCAGCTTCTTCATGATCACAGCAAAGATTGCTTTGGGTTCGCTCATGTACAACACGTTTACGTGCTCTCCTAACTTTTGTTTAGTCCGTGTACTTCGACTAGCACTTCCTATGGTACCCCAGCTCAGCGGGTCTCGACAACTCAACTGCCTACTGAGAGAAAGTCTCGGCTATTTATTTCTTCCTGCCATCCAGGTTTATCAAAGACTTGCAACTTTCAATAACTCGCCGCCAACCGGCACAAGAAAATGAAATAATTGGACCTTTTTCGTATTGAAACAAGTGCAAAAAACATTTCACGGGCGCTGCCATATTTAAATAACCGAGCGCTCGCGCTGAGATTCAGTCATCTGATTGGCTGATAAGCAAAACTCGGATCTCGCGATTTCTTAAGTTACGGCTGAACAAATTATATTTTTAATCGACTATAACCTATTAATGTGCAAGTGAAAGGGTGGGAACATTGGCGTTTTAAGATCACTGGAGTCTCTAGCAACTTATCCAAGTGAAAGAAAGTTGCCCCCTAAAAGTTCAAACGGAATTGCTTAAGGAGACGTCGTACAGATTCTGGCCCACGGACTATTTATTCTATTCCTCTGTTCTGCTGAGACAAATGAGCTAATCTAACTAGAATCTCATTTAATAGAAACCACCTCAACATGTTAATTGATATGACTAATGCAACTAATGCAAATCTGCATAATAAGCCATCTGCAAAGATCAACCTCCATCTAGAAATATGTCTGTTTATTCCTGGTGCGTAGGATGAAGAACCTGAATCTAATGTGCTGCAAATAGAAGCATGTTCAGACCTAACAAGTCAATTAGCTGTACTAAACTGCCTACTTACAAGCTATTAACTTAAAATATGTAGTTATATCATATCGGTCTACCACTCAAAAATTATATCCACAACACTTTTTTAAAAACATTTTATTCAGCAAAATATTTCCACTCTTATTTTTTAAATAAATGACAATGATTCACCTTAACTTGATTATATAAAAGTAAAGTGACAAGTTGATGAATGATATAATATCTAAATACATCCAAACACTTATCTACTTCCTAAAAATAGCTTACTAAGAACTGTCTAATCAAATAAGACCATGCAAAGCACTTTTAATTAAGTGAACAATATTGCATGTCACTCCTGTTTCATTTTGGAAAACACATGCCTGTTGAAAATTATTGGATTGGATAGTGAGCTCTGACACCTTGGTTCTGTTATTATTAAGTATATCCACACTGTTACAGGTAGAAGAAGCCAGAGAAATGCTCCGGCAGGGATATCCCTTCTGATCAACACAAAATGCCAAAATGCTATAATATATCCATCAACCACCATCTGACATTTATGTGATATTGGAAAGAGGTATACTTTTGGACATGGCTTTTGTTTGAAAGAATAAGAACCAAAACTAATATGAAACGTCAATCCTCAAATATTCTCTTTCATGAGTGTTTTTTTCTCTTAATGGTTTTTGTAGAGAAAAAGAAAGAAAAAAAACAATAAAAAAGTTAAACATAAATATTTTTAATTTCAAGTGAAATGTGTCAGTATTAAATAACTATAACACATAATGTTTTTGACTAACTTCAACATACCATTTTTAAAGCTATAATAAATTAATACGTAAATAAGAGAACAATGCTGCTACAGGATGAATGGTGGAGCACAGATAAGGAGCTCATTAAGAAAATCACTATCTATATGAAATTCAGAAGGTGGGTTCTTACAACTCAGGAGCATATTTAACGCATTAAAACAAACAACACGGATGGAATGAGTGCCAAATGCACAAAACCTATCTGATGCCCAGCAGCTCATCTCTCTCTCTCTCTCACACACACACACACACACACACACACACACACACACACGCACACACCAACAGGCTCATAAACACTTCCTGGCTGCTTTCCTGCTATGGTGTCCACTGGCCAAGGCGACCCAGGAGGGCCTCTGCACTGACCTATGGCACCCGGCCTTATATTCACAGTGGGGGGGGGGGCAGCATAACACACACATACAGACACACAAACACACTCTTGTGATAAACTACACTTGTTTTACACACTAAATGAAAAGCAGACACACAACCCTGCGAAGGCCAGGAGAAAGAAAGGCTGCACAGGAGGGAAGAAGTAGGATAAGAGGAGGAGGAGAAGGGGGGAATTTTTCCTCCACTAAAAGTTTTGTACAACCCAAGAGTTGGGGGAAGTGGGGGTATGGCGGATGAGGGCGTAGGGGGTTGGGGGGGGAGGGTGGCAGTGGGTACAAGAAGGAGGGTGGTAAGAGCCACAGGGTGCATCCCACCGAAAGCTATGCCTCACTCCGGCTCATTCTCTCCATTACACGCACACAGGAACACACACACACTCCAGAGCCAAAGCCTTGTTAGCTTTTTAAAATAATCAGACAGTTGGATGATGAATGATTTAACAGGTATGGAAGGAAGGAAGCTCAGGATGCCTTCCGTTTCTCCCCTCAGGGCCATGGGAAGAGTGACAGGCCGACAGAGGGGTTGAGCTTTGGGAATAAACACCATTCCCTTTCATTTCGCTGCTACTGCTTTTCCTGCCGAGATGGCAACGCCTCGGCCCACTAATTTGTCAACAGAGTGACTGCGAGAGACGACGACAATCTGCGACTCTCTGTTGAGGGGTTCACATCAGGATGGGGACAGGTTGGCTGGCGACAAGCAGACAGGAGGGAGCAGTGTACTGTGGCCTATAAGAAAAACTGAGAGAAAACAGAGCCCAATCTGTAGGACTCTCACCAACATTAACAGTAATCCCTTTTAACAGGGGAAACCACTCAATCTAACGTCGGGGGCTTGTTACACAGTATGTCGGTTTTAACATATTTACTGAGAGATACAACTGTGTTTGTTTGTTTGTTTATATTTTAGTTGAATTGGGTTTTAACCCTGAGAACAGGAGTAGTAAACTGACAGAATGAAATTAAGCATTGCTCATATTGTTGGAGGGGGAACAGCAGATGAAATACAGAAAATTAACCGAACTGGAAAAGAGAAAACAAAACGGTGAAATGCTGCCCTCTGCTGTCAGTCTTTTGTCTTTGCAGTTAGTGATACAATGTGGAGGCGATAAAGATCTCAAAGAGGGCTTTTCACTGGGGCCATCAACACACACCGGGGTTCCATACATGGTTTAGAAAGAGCGGAGCACTTGGACTTGAATGAACATTGGGTTCCTGTCTCAGGAAGTTATTACTAGTTTTTTAGACTGACACGTGGTGATTTGCCTGGCTTATTTTATGTTGGTGGACACAACAAAACACTGACAATGGCAGTTAAGAGCAAAAGCAGAAAAAGGACATTTCTGCTTTTTTGTGACTTAAATCAATTAAGGCTGACTTGAAGTACTAAAATTAGAAAGTATTATTAGAAATATTAGTATTAGAAGAGATAATATTACAGTTATTTTATATTGAATATTTAAGTTATTTTCTTAACTATTCCTGATCTAAAATGGTCCATCAAAAACAAAATTGCCCTTTTTTGCATTCAAAAATAAAATCAAAAGTCAGAAAGAGTGGTTAGTGTAAGTTAGTAATGTTGGTAATGTTTTTTTTTTTATCAGAAATTATTTTTGTTTTGGCTTCTCTAAACTGGGAGTTGAGCCCAATTAGGGCTGCAAATCACAAGCCAGCCACAGAGTTGTGTAGTTGCACCAAGTGGGCGATGACAAAAACAGCTCAGGGAGAGTTGAAATGTCTGAACTTTGAGGGGACGGCAGAAAACTGCACCCACCAGAAACAGAAAAATGACACCGATTGAAGGAGAAGAAGAAAAAGAAAGAAAAAAAACAACAGCAGGAGAGAACTGTCGTTTCCCTAAAAGTGAAAAATGATCCTGCTCATTCAGCTTTGACGAAAATCTGTCATCTTTTGTTAAATGTTTTTTTCTCCTCGGTGAGCCGGATACAGACGCATGAACGAACAAAACGCCCTGTTGTGTCCGTCGGACGCCCCGTTTCTACGATCTCAGTTTAGCGACTGAAACAATGAGCGCTCTGTTTGGCTGGGCGCACCCGGCAGGTACTCTCTTGTCCCTGTAATGTCAGCACCAATTCAGCCGCCTCTTTTTTTTTTTTTTACAGCAAAACTATGGGGGAACTACAACAATTAGCTCAATTTTCGAAAGCAATGACGTTCCAAAGGTGTGCACCCACCAGCATAAGCACACGCTTCCAAATGAATAATGTATCCACAGGTGATAATAAGCAGATTCCCATTAATGATTCAGTAGCTCGTTAAATTTTGATGAGGGGACCCCGTGGAGTCATTAAGAAGCTTTGAGGCCTTAATTCACCTGTTAATCTCAGTTTTATCGATTGATAAAATAATCAAGAATATTCATTTGCTATAATTATGCAGTTTAAGATATTAATCATACTGCAATTAGAGACTCCAACTTTGCCGTGCATTTAATCAAGTAGTGCACGCCCAACATCAGTGGTGTAAACCCACATGTAATGAGATCAAAGTTTCTCTAATTGAATCAGTCAAATTAGCTCCTGCAAAGGTCAGCGGGCTGTGCCATTAACCCTGACCGGGATTATACAGAGCAGGGGGGACAGAGCGGTGGCTGACGTGTGGTCAACGCTCGCTTTAAAGGTCCAGGAACTGCTGCTTTTCCAATCCAATAGGTCCAGAAACCACACAAGAAGTGGGATTATACAATGGTTGATCTGATATGCCAGGGCAGGATGACATGAAATGAAACTATTGGGTTGTTTTGATGTTAAGCAGGTCATTTTACCTATCGGGTGAAGTCCCTGGCAGCTAATAAACCGTTTATTGGTAGAGATTGTTTTTAATTCCAGTGCTACATCTGCTCTGATAGGAATATGTTTGGGATATCGGATTAGTATATCACTGTTTAACGGCTTCTGTCAGCTTCATATCACTTTCACAAATAACTCTGGCATAACCGTCCTCTGCTTCTTCTAGGGAGTTAGCTGTTTTACGTCAAAATTCAGTTCTGGGAAGTGTCCCGTGTTCATATATCGCTGTTCTAATGTGTGACTTTTCTGGAAAATGACTGTGTTTCAACAACCCACAAAGAGCTGGTATGTCACATCTGCCAGTTTCCTTTATCAGAGGCAGACTGAAGCATCACCGGGCTGAAAGAGAAATGGGTTCTGAAGTGATGTTAATGAGCACCCCCTGAAGGAGAGGGAGACCTTTGTTTGCTGCCAACATGTGACCTGAGCCAGGTATCCTGTTCTGAGTCATCTTTTGGACATTTGTTCTTGGATGTGCCATAAATTCTTGCAGAGACATCCAGACAAACTGAAATTCCAACAGGGTCTTTGCACTAGTCAGTAGACTCTGGCAAGTTTACAGACTTTTCTAAAAAATATTTCATTTGAATTTTTACATTTATTATAATATTACAGCATAGTGAAAATTCTATCCGTCCATCCATTTTATATCACCTCTCTACACAATTTAAGCTGGAGCCTCCACTGCCAGCGTCCATTGATGGAGAGGCAGGGCACACCTTGGACATTGTAATACGTAATGGTGCTCTAACCTGAGGGGCAGTGGGCGTCCCTAAACTGGCCGTCAGCCCTAACAGACTGAGTAACTGAAGTTAGAAATTAGAAGAGCTTCTCACACCGTAACTTTCTGTTTAAAAGGCCAGTGTCACACAGCCACATCATGACAAACACACAGACCAGCAGTGTTGCTCTTTAACTGGTAAAAGATAGAAGACCATTCAGATCACAAATCAGGGTCCATTAGGTGTATCATCAGCTCAGTCTCATTGTGAGCTCATGAATGCAATGAGTGCCAAGGTTAAGAGAAGTCTCTGTAAGCTTCCCACGATACTAAACTCAAGTCTTCTCCAGCACGACCACATTAATCACCACTAACCAACAAACAATGACTTAACAGATTCTTAGTTTGCATGAAACATCTAATAGAATGGTGGGTTTCATATTTAATGTAGATATTTTCTAAACCTTAATTGACTACTACTACTTAAGTGACTACAATGATGACACATTTCTTTATGATAATTCTAGCTGGGAGACTGGAGAAAACAAAAAGCTGCGGCAATAACTCTATGTGCCCAGTTGTGCTCCAGATGTGCCCAGTTTTATAACTAGCATTTTTTGTCTTTTTATATGCATGTACAGCAAAAGAAATTGTTTGAAAATATATAGATAAAAAAAAACTCTATCAATACTCTAAATGGCATATGGCTGGCATCAAATAGAGGATTTCACCTAAAAAGCAACAGCCAGAAAAGGTTCAACCCCTCTGTTCCCCTCAGCATGACTCCATCATCACCATGGTGACATCATCTTGGATGGTGAGAGTGACCCTGGAGGACAAAATGACATTCTCTGCAAACAGTCGCCGCTGCCACTTCCTCTCAACTCCTTTAAATCATCAGGAGGAACCACCATCTCCTCACCTGGGAAGCCCCCCATCCCTCTATCCTAGCTGAGCTCAAGGTGTATTACATCAGACCTCTACAGCCAGTCCAAAGTGTCTCTGTTACCTGGTTTTTAGCCCCAAGACATTTCCACATCATTCATCTTCTCTATTCACTTCGCAGGCTTTCACTCCTTGACAACGTTTAAGGCTGGCCTGTATGACAGAACAAACAAATGCTCCCCAACACTTTCTGAATGAGAAAATTAGCTGTTCTATCATTCACAGAATGAAAATGTTACGGGGGGGTCTTCTCTATCCACCCCACAGACATAGCTTGAAATCCCCACCTGTGTCAAGGACCGCGGACTCACTCCTTTTGTTTCCCATCACTGTGAGCTCACCTCCCCAGATCACTTCAGGAGAAGCTGCTTACTATCACCTGACTATTTTTCTCTTTGAGCTTTCAAACAGAAATGACTGAAAAACTTAATACACTGTAGCGATGTGGCATGCCCAGATCCCAAATATCCAGTAAGCGCAGTCTTCAACAACTTGCATCATTTACCTTCTCGTTTCTCCTGTTTTTGAATGAGAGTGATGGACGGAATATAAGATGAGCTGAACACTTTACGCGAGATACAAAAGCAGCGCGCCCTGTAGATGCTGGCTCTCAGCCTCAGGACAAGAGCTGAGCTACGGTCAAAGCTGTGCCTAGCAATGCTTCAAGTGATTTGTGAGAGTTGTTGGTGCGTCGTCACAGTGGAAAACAGAATGGTGACAGAGCCACTGCTAATATCCTCTTAAAACAAAGCCATGCAAGTCAACCAAATACACTCCATGTAATGAAACGGCCCATGCCCTCACTTCACTTAGCTTCTCCCTGTTGTTAGCTTTCAGTGAATCGTGCCTTTTTTTTTGCAGCAGCAACGGAGTCTCACCTGTGGCGTTGTTACTCTGAAGGTGGCCCCTGTGGTGGGAGTCGCTTGTCGTGGAGAGACGTTGTTCTGGGCCTGAGCTTGAGCTTGAGCCAGAGCCTGCTGAGGAACCATGACCAACTGGCCTAACTCCGTGCGTACCAACACCATCCCTAAAGAACGACAGGAAGAGTCATCAGATACACGAGGTCATCACTCCCGCAACGGCTTGCTTTATGATATGAGCGACAGGTTATGGCATTTAAACTCAGTCTCCTGTGATGCTGTCCTCCTTCCGCCCTCCTGCGTGAAGCCAGTGGACGCCATCTTCCTGTTTTAAAGGCTCCTCTCCCAGCTGTTGCCACATTAGCTCTCGGGGAATTGTGCCCTCTTTGGAGGATTATTGTTTCCAAGTTCCTCTAACTTTTTCCAAAAGTTAATTCTACAACTTATACTTCCAATTAATAAATGATAGGAAAACCCCCTTTTCTTAATGTTTCTGTTTCAAATAGCATCCTCCTGTTGATCTGTTGAAATAGTGATTAGTGTCCTTGGAGACTATTTATATTTACCCCAGGACTTCAGGTGTTTGTGGCATTAACGACAACATGTAAAAAAATTTAACATCTAAAGAAAACTCAAAAGAACACAAAATTCTGATCAGGAACTTGAAGTTTTCATCATGAACTCAAACAGTCTGTATTTATTACAGAACCGCATTCTGAATTCACCCATATCAGCCCAAGATAAAGCACTTTATTAAACATTTGTTTAGCTTTTCAGAATTTCCATAAAGTGAAAAAGACACAAGTTCAACAGAAAGTTTAGCAGCCTTTTGTACTGGTACTATCAGGCTGAACCATTGAGGTCAGGCAGTACAGAACCATTCTGACCACTGTCCTCTGTTAAGACCTGCACTTTTTAAACATCATATTTCAAGATGGTTACAAATAGTGACATATGCCAGCTAAAGCACAGGTACAGAGCTGATGCACTATACAGACTGAGCATTTTTTTCTCCCCAGAAAAATAAAGCTGATGTTCTGATACTAGATTTTGGCAGCCATAAAGGTCTTACAATCTAAATAAAGCAAATGACCCCAGGGCCATTAGTGTACTTTTTGGAATTTTGTGTTTATGTAGTAAATTATGCCCATGAACTAAGACTTTTCTTTAATACTTTATTGTGTTAATGTTTCTTTGATAGTCTGATCGACTAAAAGCACCACAGGGTGCTCTTTACCCTTCAGAACATATCAAAACATCCTGTTAATCCAAAGGTTTCCTTGGAATGAGCAAAAATCTACACATTCTCTGTGGGGAACTCCAACATAGCCAATTGTAAATTGCTTATTTTTCTCTAGCATCTGTTGTAAAAGGATCCACTCTGTTCAAAACTCTCTCATAGAACCCCTTTACATGTTTTTTCTTTGAGAGGGTATAAATGTGCCTTCTGATAAAGACTGATGTCAAAAACTTGAGCATCAGGTAAGTCATTCAAATGTTCATCTGTATGTATTTAATCAGAAATCTTCATGTCGATGCAGCTGTGTAAATTTAACATGCTGTTCTTCTCAGCAGACAAATTAGAAGTAACACATTCTACATCCAGGCTAAAACTTAAAGCACTGACAGTGTGGCCTCTGTGAATAAAAGTATGGAACCAGCTGTACATTACGCCTAAAGAAACACAATACAAACAATACAGATCAATATGGCATAAAAGAAGCAGATTTACACAGCGCAAATCGACCAAAGAGCCCCTCACAGGATCATGACAACACGGGCACAGACAGCACCTCCTCGCTGCTCTCCTCGCCCCCTTTAGAAAAACCTTACCCGGTGGGATGGTAAACCCCGGGGGCAGCTGAATGGTCGTCTGCGGCTGAGGGGGTCTGACAATCAGCTGGGGGGCTACGATCCTCTGAGGGGCTGCGAGTCCGGGACGGGGCAGAGTCTGTGCGGAGGCGGCCACGGCCGGCGTTGGAGAGGGGGCGGCGGGCCTGACCGTGGGACCGGCTGCTGCTGTCACTGGTGTTGTCTGGACAGTTGCACACACAGAGGTGGTAGCCATCCCCGTCACACAGGCAGCAGTGGTGGCGGCGGCGCTCGGGGGCTGGGTTACTGTGGTGGTGGTGGGGGTCGCAGCCGGTGCCGGGGTGGTCGCCGGCGTGCCAGCAGAGGAAGCTGAGGATACAGTGTTTATGACAGAACTCACACTACTACACTGGGTTGACATGACAATTTTGGACTGACAGTCGTCAGTTTTGGAAGCCTCGGTGTCCGTGACCGTCTTGCTGACCTCTCCCTGGGGACCTGGAGAGGCGGCGGGACCCACGCGTGTGCCCTGCTGGACCAGGGCCGAAACACTGGTCCCGTTCCCGTTTTGGGCAATACTGGCTACGATGTGACTCGGGAGTCTTTGCAGAGCGATAGTAGGGGTGCCCCGGTCGAGAGCGATGGCTGACTGACCTACGGGCAGGCTTGCATTTGATAGAGTAAAAGTCGAAGTGTTAATTGAGGATGTGACCGTTCGCGTAGAGTTTAGTGTTGTTGTTGTTGTTGTTGCATTAGAATCCACCGGGCTAGCGCTTTCGCCCAGCGTTGTGTTACTGTTCCTCCTCGTCGTTACAGCCGCGCCGTTAAAACTCTTTATCCGAGCCGAAGCGCTCCTCCGTGGGGTCGTTATTCGTTTCCTCTGTGGGTTAGCCTCCGCGGGAAGCTCACCTGAGCCCGAGATAACCTTAAAACTCCGGCCGGGTGCCGTGCTGATGCTGTCTTGCGGAGACGCCAAAGTTGACACACCAGATGCGGTCAGTGTTGTGATGGATGCTCCATGTGATTGCGAACCGCCGCTCGTGGTGTTCACACAGGCGACCGAAGTGGCGGAGGGCTCGACAAAAGAAGGAGTGCAGTCTAGTGAAGGAGACGTGACAGTTTTATCCAGGCTAACGTCCTTAGAGTTGATTTCCTGGCGCATCTCAGGTTTATTACGCCGTCCTTGTTGTTGTTGTTCTAGTGTTGTGCTCACTGGAGCTGGTAGCGTTTTTCCTAAGTGATGGTTAGCAGGGGCCACAGAGCCAGCGCCTCCGTTTTCGTCAGTTTTCCCCACTGGGTTGCTTTGCCCTGCAAGCTGTGACTCCAATGAGCCCACTAGGTCGCTAACAGCTTTTTCATCCACCTCTGAAAAGAGCATATCTTCCAGGGGGTCGGAGGCGCCCGCCATCTCTGATCACTGATAACTGTCTTATATTTGATTACAATGCGCCTGCGTGTTACTAGGCATTGTGGGAATGACTCTGACGTCATTATGGGAGGGGGGGGGCATCTTAGTTTTATGTAGCATATGTCGCTTATTCAAGGCTAAATTATTAAATTTTGAGGAAGAGCTCATGTCGGAGACGAATTATCGTGCAACTACATCCCCGATCGTTTGCCTAATGCACTTACATTATCTAAAAAATATATCAGGAACTTAATGTATCTAATATGCATTTATATGTTGATATATATATGTTTTTATTCATACATGAAATACATGAAGGAGGATGGGGGACTAGTATCGCGATAAAAAAGAAGACCTGAATTTCAAACCTCGAATGAAGATGTCCTTCTACAAATAAAATGCCTTTCATTTCTCCACTCAAAATCATAATGTTCAAGATTGAGCATTTAATATTTCCATAAACCACATTTTTGGTTTAATATTTGTTGAAATCTTGTTTCATTCACGCGCGAACGTTAAAATCCAATGGAAGGAGGAGCATACTGTTTGAAGAAAAAAAATCTACAGTCTTTCTCCCAAGATCCTTTGCGGCAGAGGAAGGAGAAGGAAAACGGCCATGTCGTGGTAGAAATTACAGGCAAATGTGGATCAGTGTCGCTTACTTACTTATGTAGCTTTAAAAACACGTTTGCAAAGGGAATAAGTGAATATTTTATTTTTCGTGGAACGAAAAACGTATTCCGTGAAAGTTAGAGTGCTTGTAAAATCAGTGGACAAACATGAGCGGAGGAGGGACGCCGTACATTGGCAGCAAAATTAGCCTCATCTCTAAGGCCGAGATCCGTTATGAAGGAATTTTGTACACCATTGATACTGAAAACTCGACAGTAGCACTTGCTAAAGGTAAGTTGAGCCCCTATAAGGTGGTTTGTACCTGTGTATTAGGGGTTGATATGGTAATGAGTGTGAGTATCGAATACGCGAAACTGGATTCGTAGCCCTTGGTTGTGTTAGCTAGCTTTTAGTTAGCCTTGCACTGGCTAAATGATGTTGTGGTGTGCAATGCCCTTTGTTTACTTTGTCGCTGACCTGGGGATAGACTTTCAACGCAAATAGGAATTTATTTGAAAAGTTCACTCGCTGTTACTATAATGTATCATTTAATAAACCTGATTTGATATTTTTTAATTATCTTTTGTCAGTAGTATTACTTTTTTCCTGATACTTCTAACTTTCTTGAAAGGTACACTCAATATTGAACCTACTACAGTAGTTAACCTTTCGTGAGTCAATTTTGTGGTGAAATTGGTACACTAACTTGGATATATGAATAATAACCTAACCTATTAATTTATTCAAATGTATGTATTTTTATGTACGTGTGTCATTTCTCCCCTGAAAATAATGTTAAGTGTCAGCCTTTTTTTAAGGGCTATAACTGACTGTCTCTTTGAAAAAAAGTATTATTTTGATATGCAAATCTAATGTATTTCACTGACACGTTTTTCCTCCCAAACAGTGCGCTCCTTTGGCACTGAGGACCGCCCCACTGACAGGCCTATTCCACCTCGGGAGGAAGTGTTTGAGTACATCATCTTTCGTGGAAGTGACATAAAAGACCTCACGGTTTGTGAGCCACCCAAAGCCACTAGCTCTCTGCCTCAGGATCCTGCAATAGTTCAGGTAAGTTAATCTTTGGAAGCACTGCAACTGTAAATACTTGTAAGGCTTGTTTGGATATTTTTCTTTGAGTATTCTACATGCTGAACCCCTCATTATGCTGCCATGCCTTAATTAGGGTAGTCATTTTTGACGTGATTAGTAACACCTGTGTGTTACCCACAAGCCCAAGAGTGCTGAAACAAGATGCTATTTCTATGCAAGTGCACAACTCTGTCCATATATGGTCAGTGTTGGACATTCTTGATGGATTTTAAAGCCAGGTTAAATGTGTAGTAGTGTAGTATCCCAATCATTATGGAATGGCTTCTTTATTATCGCACCAAATTATGAATTAGTTTTTAAAATGTCCGTGACAGATTTTAATAAAGGTTTGTGTCTGAGTTATGTAGATTTGATTATTTGTACCACACTCAATACGAACTTTGCTGTATAAAGAGTCCTCTCACCACCTGTGGTAATAGCTGGCATGTGGACTTGTGTTGTCGCAGGTGTTTCCTGTTATAGTCATTGTGGCTCCAGAGTCACAACGGGGGCTCATCTAAATTAAATCCTGAGGGAAAACTGTAATAATGTCTTTGAAAATGTGGTGTTTTTTTGTCTTTTTTTTTAAGAGGGGGGTTTGATTTTAAACATCTTGTAAACATTTTAGCACATTAATGACAGGCAGCATAGGCATAGCTGCACACTTTAACCACAGTTACTGATTTGAATAAGGTAAGTGCTATGGACTGATAAAGGGCCTCTAAATGCTGAGGTGTTCAAATGACTGAATATTTATCTGCTCTTCTAGTCATCAATTGGATCCTCCAATGCTGCCCCGCCACCATCCTTTCAGCCTCCTGGGTCATATGCCCCATTTAGCAGGGCCGCAGTTCCACCATACAGTCAGTTTGGTGTTGCACCCATTGGAGCTCAGCAGTTTGGATCTGCCGGAGGTAAAGAGTTGTCCTACTTTAGAATAATTCAATCCATACAATAGACTTGGACACAGTGTTAAAGATAAAAACTAAAGATAGCCACACACATCAGGGTTTTCACTGGTTTAATTTTCTATTTTAAGTTGTTAGACATCCATATGGTACCCCAAAATTAAGGAAATATTAAAGAATTACTGCTCTGAATTATGTAAGATGTCTATGAAATGGCCTAAACTGTAAAAAACTGAGCATTCACAATTTGAGCTGAATACTGCCCATGTGAATTGCTCACAGCTGCATGGAGCCTTTCTTCACTCTGTAAGGAAACCTGCTTCATTTTCATGAAAATTGCAAAAAAATTGTCATTTTAAATATCACATTATTATTTTTTTATATTAAGTCAAATATTAGGTATTTCGTACCTTTTTCTTACCCTCCATTATTTTGATGTACAATTTGGAAACTTGTGACTATCTTGGGATTATCACACTTTCACAGGGCGCACTTCTCCACTGGAGTCTTTGACAAAAAAGTCCTCAGTGGAGCAGGCGGCGCAGGCCCCGTCGTCAGCGGCGCCGGGCCCCCAAACATCAGTGGGACAGAGGAGTCAGGCATCAGCCTCCAAACCCACCAGCACCTCCACTGGCCACCAGAAACCTCCAGACCTCCTGGAGCAGAAAAAAGGTACACAGGTCACACGGGTTTGTCGCCGCTGTATCATTCATTGTTGCGTCAGGCTCATGTTTCTGTTAAGACCTCACCACCTAAACAGCCAAGGTGAGTTGAGTTGAACTGAGTAGGTCCATCAGAGAAGACTGAGCATCAATGATGGAGTCGGACATATTTTATGGTGACTAAATGCTCATTTACATAGTAAATTTGGAGCAAACCTTGTTGAAAGTGTACGCTTCCTGGTGTGGAATACAGTAGCCGGCATATGGTGACTAGGGTTCTGTTGTGTTCTTGTTCCAAAAAAGAAAACAGATTTGAAAATATGGGATTATTTTCAGACATTCTTTTAACCTATGTTATTGTATGTTATCAGTTCAGATTACTCTAAAATGTTTCAGATGTTTTATTTATTGTGCCCATCTTGAAAATGCACATTAAAAACATCAGTCTGTGTGATGATGATCGGAATGTCTTCCTGCTCAGCTCCTGAGGTCCCAAAAGCATCACAGCCCAATGCTGAACATGGCACAGTGGAAAACCGAGACCCCAATAAGCGCCACGTTGGTGAGCATCCTTCTGCATTTCAGCTTTGAAACGTCACGCAGGGCAAACTCACTCCAGACTTCTTTCTCCTCAGCTGGCGTCCAGCCCAATCGGCGTGGCCGCGGTAGAGGAAACCGCAGCAGAGGCAGAGTCAACGTGCGCCGGGACGGCACCATGAAGTTTGACGAGGACTTCGACTTTGAGACTGCGAACGCACAGTTTCACAAAGATGAGATTGACAAGGAGCTCCAGAGCAAGCTTAAGCTGAAGGGTACCTCTTTAACCCAGAAACAGCCATGAACCTGCCAAGGTCCAACTAACAAGGGCCAGACTGATGTTCTGATTGTTCCATTTGTTGTAAAACAACCAGCATGAAAAGCAGTGTTATTAAGGCCCACGCCAAGCTGGACCGTGGCAGAGTTTTGCCCGTTATGTTGCTTTGGGTGATCCGACAGCTCATTAGTGTGTTTTAATGTCCTTCTGTCTAACCAGACGACAAACCCGAAAAGGCACTCAACGGAGAGGAAACTGCTGACTCGGAGCATCCAGCCAACGAGGGCACCGCTGAGGAAGAGGAGCCTGTGAACAACTCCTGCTACTATGACAAGTCCAAGTCCTTCTTTGATAACCTGTCCTGTGATGGCTCCAAGTAAAGCTCCAAACCTTCTGTTGAACCTTCATTCCTCTTTCTTTGTGAATTATGCTCAGTGACTATACTGAAGGCATTTGTCTTGTTTTGATCTCTTTCAGTAAAATGGGGGATGGCGGATTTCCAAAGTAAGTGGCGGTTTCTTTGTTTGACGTAGATGTGTTTTTCAAAGTCCCTGCAGACCGATAAGACTGAGAGCGTTTTGACCCTGATGCGGGTTTTGGCAGCGCGCCCGTGTCTTGTGGCGGAGCATTCCTGCAGCTGGATGCTGACAGCCTTTTGGTGTGTTTGTGGCAGGGAGCGCAGGTCAACCTGGGCCGAGGAGAGACGGATGAACGCGGAGACCTTCGGCATCCCGCTGCGGCACGGCCGCGGGAGAGGAGGCTTCCGTGGCCGCGGCTACATGGGCCCCCGCGGGGGGCGAGGGCGCCCTTCCAGCAGGGGCTCCTTCGGGCCGCCCCGCGGCGCCCCGCCTGGTTTCAGGGGCGGATACAGAGGAGGCAGAGGAGACCGAGACTTCTCCGATTTTGAATACAGGGTAAATCCAACCGCCTTTGCGAGCTCACACATATTGATGAAAGTACTAAAGAGTGCCGTTGGCTTAAGCCTTTTGGGGGTTTTTTCTCTTGGTTTTCCAGAAGGATAACAAGGTGGCCGCATAGTCTACAGCGACAGATTCACAAAGAATCGAAGCCACTCATCATGAAATGATTTCCATCCTAGCAACTTTTGGTCCCATCGCTTTGACAGAAGGAATGAAGACATCCTGTCAGTCACCAGCAGCTGGATGGATAGAATGACTTCAGGGGTGACCTCTATCCACTTTGAGACTCTGTTATTGTTTTTCTTTCCTAGAAGTTTTTTTTTTCTTTGATCTTCCCTTTTTCCCCCTGTTTAAGAGTTACAGGATGGACAAGCTCACATGTACATACAGCGCTTTTGAGTAATTCAGTAGTTTTGCATCACCTGATCCATTTCTTACTGAAGTCGTCTTTGATATAGAAACCGTATGTCTTTGGATACTGTGAGTTGGATCCCAGTCCGTGGTCAAAAGCTTTGTTCTTTTTCCTTCTTCTTTTCTCCTTTCTTTTGGCATGTTCCTTCCCTGCAACAGGCAACTGAGCGCGTTGCCTGTTGCAGCGGCCTCCTCTGCTGTTTGGCTGCCGTCTGTCGAATAGTTTTACTGGCTTGGCATTCAAAAGAGTTTTAAACGCCCCTTAATTTGCAAAGAACAACCAAGCCAGCTGAAAAAAACCCAAACATAGAATGGTGAAGAATGAATGTACATCCAGCTCATTTGACCTGTGTCGTTGCTCAACAATCAGTTGAATTTGTACCTTAAAGACATAATCAGCTATTAGAGACTGTGTACCAAATGTCAGCCAAGCATGAGTTGTTACCTTTAGTTTTAGTTCGACTGGACTTCTGTGGGCCTGGTGGTTTGGTCAGTCTGACCCGGGCAGACGACAAAGCCAGGCTCCCTAGTGAACCGCATCGGCTTCACACTCGTTTGTGGAGTGCATGTGTTTCACGCAGGGCCCACACCAATAGCCTGAATGAGTAGCCTGTCTAGATTCTCTTTACTCTCTCTCGTTTGTCCCCAAAAATAGGTCCATAATTTCTACTTTCACCAGAAGCTTCAAAAGAAATCCAAACAACTTACCTTTGGAAAAAAAAGTGCTCCATTTGGGCGAAGAGAATGCGTTTGGTCAACAAAATCTCTTCATTCTTGCGTATTTTTGTTGTTTCAGTGCATTGTGTCCAGAACACACTGAGCTGTCTGTTGGAACGCTTATTTCTCACCGAGGTTTCCCTCTCAGTCGTCCAGTATCATTGACTGTTATATTTTTTAGTTTTTTCTGCGTTGTCAACATTTGCGTCTGCGCCTGCAGTGTTGCAAGAGTTGCTCTCTTCAAACGGGAAATATTGTAAAGGATTAAGAGATGTCTCAAAGCATGTTCATCCAAATAGTTTTTTCTGGTAACTCGTAGCCGCCTGGCTTGTTTGTAGCTCCTGCCATTGCATTGTCGTCAGTGTGATTGTTCTCAGGAGGGAATTTATTTTTTTACTGAATTGTGTTCAAAGGGACAAGAACTGGATGTGGTGCCAGTATTTTCACCCGCATATTTGGCTCCAATTCATTGGTACTTTAGGGAGTGCCTTGAGAGTGGTAATTTGTTTTCTTCTGTTTTTTTTGTTTTTTTTCATTTCAACACAGCTCTCCCTTTAACTTAAAACATTAACTTTTGACAGAAGTATTTGTAGCACTACAAGCTGAAAGTAGATCCTTTTGTGTAACTGTTATTAAAAGGACAATAAAAACATGTCTGAATGGAATATCACACATACAGCAGATCTTTGCCTATGACAGCCCAAAATAGCAACACTTTCTATCAGCTTTTGCAATAACCAGCAAGATTGAATATGGAACAAAACTATTACTGAACTGTTTTGGTTTGGTTTTTTCATATATTTGCTACTCCTCCCAGTCACTGGAATTGTTTTGAGAATATCCGTAAATTGAGTTTTTACAAAAATTAAATAAAGAGTTGTAAAATTTACATGTTTGTCTTAGTTTTTTGTTTTTATTACAATTGTATTTTGACACATTCTTTGGTACTCAGCTCTGAGTACACAGTGATTCAGTATAATTAGGATACTTAGTTAAAAGAAGACAGTTCATTGATTATCTTAAAGTGCTGGAAAGGGGAAAGCTAATGTCATTTACCATTCTTTGCTTTTGTCAGAGCAAAGTCACTTGTGTAGAGTGCTGTTCTCGACTGACACCATGTCCAGTGTATAACTGGGCCTGAGGGTGGCACAAGTGGCCATTTTAAGCTAATATGGAAAGGGGACAGCAAGTATTCCTTGGATTTTATACATATATATATCTCAATTGTCTAAGTCTCATCTCAGTTCAGTTAAATGATACATCTTTATCTAACATGTCCAGTGAATAAAAACGTTAAAGACAAAGAGTTTGACATTACCTGTATTCCATTTTCGAACCTTACGACGGTCGGACACCTTTTATCCAGCAGATGGCGGTAAAGCGTCCGGAACATAGTTACCTCTACGATCAGCGAAGAAGAGAAACACCGGAAGCAGAAAGACGCGGCGGCCGCGCTCCGAGGGAAACGAGAGTAACACTGCTGACGATCCAAAATATGTCTATTGTCTTTGTACCAAAGAAACTGCGAGGAAAGGCCAAAGTTAACCAAGAAACAATACAGAGGGTAAGACGTTGTTCAAGGGTGTTTATGCAACGCCTAAAAAGCCACAAGAAAATGAACGGTTGCCGGTTAGCTTCCTCTATTTACTACTTGGATATACTCGGGTCTCATTAATGCAATTCAAATTAAAAAACACTTTTTCGGCTAACTTCGAGTTCATAAATCCTGGTTTGACGGTGATTTTCCAGTTGTTAAAATGTCACTAACCCCCCAAAAAAGCCCCTTGTCACCTGTTTCACCTGTTCCAGTTGCTGGATGAAAACGAACAGCTGATCAGATGTATTACAGAGTACATGCAGAAGGGACGAGCAGTGGAGTGTGTACAGTAAGTTTCGAACCTCTCAGCTTCCACTCATGTCGCCAACCCTGTGCAGACGTGTTTGTGGGTGCTGTTACACCGATGGATGCTCATTCTGGTTCTGCTTTTCCAGATACCAGCAGATCTTGCACCGTAACATCGTCTACTTGGCAACAATAGCTGACGCCAGTCCCGACAACATCCCACCGTCTGCAAACGTAAGGAATAATACGTACAGGTCTGATTTGTTTGTTTTTTTCGAAGAGAGCAGGACTAAGCTCAGACTGATGTCTGTTTCCAGTCTGCAGTCGGTGAGGCCTCAGCTGTAGTCCAGAACGGACACGGAGGAACACGGTGATTTACAGCCCCGTCAAGCCAATCGATCCCACCAGCAACAAGATATTAAATGTATAAACATGTTTTATTTATCTGCATGTACAATAAAGGAGATATTTTTTGAGTGATTGTTTGTGATTCCTCTTTGGACAAGTCTTTTCATCCAACAGACAGCTACATTGAAAATATAGTCCTATGTTTGGGTGGAAATTTAGAGACTTTGAATCTCCAAGAACAACTCTGGGACTAGTTCGAATTGCTAGTTATTTTTATTTGTTTTTTGCATTGCTGGTACACTTGGAAAAAATCAGTTGCCAGCTCAAGAGAACAGTAAGCAACATAAGCCAAGCAGCCCCCCTTCATATCTTCTATCAGGGCAACGTGTTTTTATTATTATTTTTCTTAATCTTTTGTAGAAGCCACTAGTAAACCATTTGACACAGCTGAGAAGCTAACAGTTACAGTCCAAGGTCTGTAATGATGTCTTAAAAAAGGCTACAACAGTTAGGGAGATAACACAGACAAAAAGCAACAAACCCTATATCTTGATTGTGCAAAGCACATTAACTATAAAAAGATATATATTTATATGTATATACAGCAAACAATTCTCTGTAAACATGTTAAGTATGTTAGTTTTCTGAAAACATGGTGTCTTTTCATAAATACAGGCAACATTGGCATCTGCAAACATCACAAAAAGATAACATTCTGGGCTCTTTAAATGCAGCCCATTGCCATAGAAACCGAAGGAACAAGGGCCTGAAAAACAAACACCCTCACCACACAATGTTTTAGTGTTTAGCATGGCATATTTGGTAACCTTTGAAGATAGATGGTGTAGTTTTAACTCTGTAGGAAAGTCATGTGCTTTTTTTTTCACATATTGGGAGGTGGAAAATAAGGTATGTAATATGTCTACAAAACTAACATACAGTTATGTTATAACATGTAAGAAAATACAAAAATAAGATTAATACTGTCAACTGAACACAAAAAAAAAAAGTATTACTAAACAGAAGAAAGAATAGCTTTATGGGAGTGTCAATCCAGATCGGACAAACGCTAATTAGAGGAGGAAACGATGTTCCCTAGTGCTCTTTTCCAAAAGTGTGGTCAGCCTCACCTTTATCGGTAATCCCCGACCGCCTCTCGTCAGCACCATTCATCCTCTGAACAACGCTTTGGTTGGAAATAATATTCTGCAAGTGCTATCAATACCAACATGGCACATAGTTACAGCTAGAATTCTTAACTCTGGTCAGTTGATGAAAAAGTAGTGTATTTCTCTCAAATTACACCTCTGGGTTGACTTACTATAATTATGCTGAGCCTGCTCAAAGCCTCTTGATAAAAAGAAGTAAATATTTATATTTCAACTTCAGTATTTTACAAGCTATGAAACAGTAGATGGTAGCTGTACTCTGAGTCATCTTGCATGAGATTTGGCAGTTACAGCTATGTAGACACAGTATACTTATTATGGGCAAAATGAGAGCATTCCAAGCCCCTGCCCTCGCGCAATTCCCTCCTCCACACACGCATACACACGCACGCACGCAGGCAGGCAAACTTTCAGCTGCAGAAGCAAGTGGGTGACGGCTGCGCGCGTCTCCAGCTCTTGTCTGGGGAGAAAATGTCAGCTCACCAGACAGAGAAACGACCACTCGGCTTGACTGCTGCCGGCATGACGCATGCACCTTTTCAAAGTTAAAACATGGCAGTTCGAAAAACTTCAAAATACATCTCTTTTTCAAATGGGGATGTCTGACATGGAAAAATATAGATACAAAAACTGTCGCGCCAGTGTGTGTACTTAACGTTGCCGCAGAGGCTTTGAAATCTTCCAATTCAGTGGGAGCGGACTCTTATTGGCTGCAGCGCGGCCCACTCAGGGCCGCAGGGCGCCGCGTCGCCTTGGATCAGTACTGGTGAAGGTAGGAGGGCCTGTGCTCGTGTTTGAGGGGAAACGATTTAAAGCCCTTGGTCATGGGTTTATGCTGCTGCTGCTGCTGCTGCTGCTGGGTGAAGGGATACCCAGAGGAGAGGCCTGTGGAGGGGGGGCAGTCGCTTGCTGTGGACCACACCGGAGACTGCAGCATCTGCATGGAGTCGCTCCACTGGGAGGACGGAGGGATGTTCATCTGGTACAGGGAAGAGCTGGGATTGGGCATGGTGTTGCTGTGGGTGGAGTGCTGCCACGGCGCCTTGGGAGGCCAGGTTTTAGTTTTGCTGTCCTGCGGGGCGCAGGGAAAAGTCACAGGGGGTTTGAAAATTCTCAACATTTTAAGGATGAAACATACAAAAAAAGAAAAATAGGTCAATTGTGTTTACCTGATTATCGTCACCAAGGTGGTGGAGGGGGGGTGAGGGCAGGGTGCACACCTCTGGCTCGCCACAGCTGTGTTTTCTGAGGAGAGGTTTCAAAGGTATTCGGTCATGTCACTGCCTGAATAAAAACAAAAAAATTTAAAAAAGATAACAGGAGATGCTTTCAGGACTTACCTCCTTTGCTTCACCGCTGCCACGAGGTCCGGTCCAGAAAACATGGAGAACAGGCTGTCCCCGTTGGCCGAGGACGTCTCATCGCTGGAGCTGGCCGAGTCCCCCTGATTAGCTGACCAGCTGCTGTTCACTGCCTCCCTGGGGACACAACCACAGGAAGGCACAGTCAGAGTTTCTGAATATCATTCAAAGCTTTTGTGTGTGCAGCCTTTCCATTTTTAGGGGGAATAAAAATTGATAAGAAGTCTTCAATAAAGTTTATCCAGCCACGACCGCCATCGTGATTGGCTGCTAGTTTACTGCCAGCTTCCTGGATTAGCCAATGAATGATATCATGTCCCACTTATAGGTGGAATTTATTGACCCGTCGTGGTAAATGCCTCATGGTCTTTAAAAAATTAATTAAAACAAAGTTCTTACTATCACAAACTAGTTTGTTTTTTTATTTTAATGAGCCTTCATCAGTTGTTCGTGCCATCAACAACAACCATACAGCAGATTATCAAAATATGTTTTTCAATAAAGGGACACCTAAGCAAATTCTTATCTGATCATCAATAAAGTGAGGGGAAATTTATATGATCAGCTGAAAGTGCTCCATTTTAACTGATGTGGTTCAGCTTTGTTTTAAACGTTTCTCTTGGTGTAAAGCTATGTGTGCTGGTTTATGTCAAATTAAAAATCCAATAGGAGGTTTTAGGTTTGAATTAACGGGGGTTCTGTATCTATGCCTGAGACTGGTGACTACTCTGTCTGTTTGGTTGTGTTTTGAGGTGTGGATCCAGCTCTGCTAGCAGGCTGGATCCAGTTGCCCCTCTTCAGAGTGCTGGGCCATGCGAGAGCCTGACCGCAGCATGTACAGCTGACCTCTGTGCTTTCTGACCGCAAACCGGACATTCAGATGTCTAGTAGCGGCGGCTCACTGCTGGCAGATGAATACGTACCCCTCGCTGTAGTACTCTGGGTGGGACCAGGTCCGGTGCTGCTGCTCCTCGGGCATTGGCCAGTTGCTGCGCGTGTTGCTGGGGCGACGGATGTGCTGCACCTGCCGTTTCTGCTGCATGGCCTGACTGACGCCGGCCACGTAACGCGCAAACTCCGGGTCGGAGCCCACTGCGTGCGGGGAGGGAGGGATAAACACAACTGTGAGTTTCTGACAGCCTCAGCTTTTCCCTTTGGCTCCCTGGAGCTGGAGCTGTTTAGCCAGACTGTCTACCAAAGCAGAAAAATCACAATAGGCGTGAGTCAACTGTGCACAATGGGCCTCCGCCGCAATCAAAAGAGTCTGCAGCCGTGTAGCAACAGAGCCCGACACGGGTTGAATTCAGCATATCTGGTCCAGCTTCACCTGCAACCACGTGCGGGGAAAACCAAGTGGTTTCATCTCACTCTGATTACATTATATCATCTGAATGGAAAGATGATGGCACATTATAACAGAATGTAGCGCCGTCTCTTCATTATGCGCTGCCTGGAGCGCAGTGTGATCATTACATGGCTTTATTAATGTAATGATGATGCTAATCTTCCATCCGATAGTCCCTCTATGTTTACTTCAACTGATGTCTGGTAACTCATTTTCTTTTATGAGCCAAGAAAGATTTCCATTTAAATGAGAAACTTTAAATAGGTCAGCAAAACTTCATCTGTGAGCATTTTAACGCTTTGAGCTGGATTTCACTGTTGGGACACCGACTCGCGGCAGCCATCAACCTTTTCTGAACATTAGCCTCCTGTTGTACCAGACAGCTAATTAATATCTGGAGAAATGTCAGTCATAAAGCCATCGCTAAGCTCCTCCAGGATTGTTTTCATAATAAAGAGATCAAAGCTGCTAGATTAGCTTTATTTGTAATCCTCTTTAGGCCACCATCAACTACCTTCATCCTCTGACTATGTCTTAACTTGAGTGTAACACAGTTACACATCTGTTACTCTCTTAGAATCCATAACCAGGGTTAGAGTTTACTTTGAAGTTAACACACAGAAGGACACTTGGGGCCATGCCTCACCTGCTGGGTCAAAAGGCAGCGTGTCTCCCAGGACTCCAAACACTCCCTCACTTTGGTCCCTGTTGGGCCAAGTGTTGTTGCGGGGCCCCTGTGGCTTCTGGCCCAGCATCTCTGATACAACACTGTCCATGTAGGTGCTGACCAGGCCCAGACTGTACAGGTCCGAGCTCAGGTCGGGCAGTCCGTGGGTTCCCCACTGCCCAATGGGGCCCAGGGGTGATAGCCCAGCAGGGGGGCCCTGTGGTGGCTGCTGCCCTGAGGTACCGAGCCACTTGTTTGCCACTCTCTGCTGTGGGAGGACCTGTGGGGGCGTCTGCTGGGGCGGGAGCTGAGGAGGAGGTGCCTGCTGCTGGGTGATGGGCTGCAGGAGGTGCTGGTAGTACTGCAGGGCCTGTGGGGAGGGCTGCTGAGGAGGAGGAGGAGGAGGTGGCTGCTGCTGCTGCTGCTGCTGCTGCTGAGGCTGTTGTTGCTGTGGAGGAGGCGGTTGCGTTTGAGGCTGAGGCTTCTGCACTGGTGCTGGAGGTGGAGGCTGCGGTTGGGGCTGGGCATGGGGCTGTAGCGCGCTGTGGGAAATAGACTGAGAGGCTGGTGGAGGGCCGCTCGGGGGCTTTAGCTCAGCTGGGTTAGCAGAGGCCACAGAGTTTCTTCTTTTGACCAGAGGCGAGGCCTGCTGGGATTTTCCCATGTTGAATCCTGAGAGAAAGTCAATGACATCTTGCATCTCTTGGTCAGTGGGCAGGTTCATCCCCTGGTCTTCAAACACGGAGCCATTGGACAGCTGGTTTTGCTGGGTCGAGTCAGGAGTGCAAGACAGGCCTCCCATCTGTCGGATGCTCTGTAGCCTCCCGTCACTGTGGCCCAGACCTTTGCCCTTGTCCTCAGAACTACTGGTTGTTAGCAAGCTGCGAGACGGGGTACTGGGGATGGAATAGCTGCCTCCACTATTCGAGCTGGATGAGACCTTCTTGGTAAACTTGGAGGTCAGCTTGGATATCGTCTTCGGTAACCCACTGGAGGTTTTGGAGCTGTTTCCCGCAGGCATGTCTGTTGGGCTGCCATAATCTGGGCTCTCTCGCTGCAGCTGTATTTGAATAGTTGGCAAGGCCTGCTCCCTTTGTGGAGAGAAGCACACACATTTGATTAAATTGTTTAAAAAATAAAATAAAAATAAAAAGCTTGGGTTGTACACACAGTGCAGAGAGGGGCTGGGGTAAAAGAACACAGTGGTGCAGGACAAAACAGTAGAGCATCAACTCACTTTCTCTCCTTCCACCTGTTGATGTCAAACACTGCAGTGTACAGCACGTCCACCAGACCAAGAGTTTTCTCTGGGTCCAGGCTTCGCTGCAGCAGGGACATAGTAGCTGGGTCTTCCTTCAAACACCTGAACATCCACACAACAAAAGTCTGGTTAGTCCTAAAATCCAGCTCTCCTTACGTGGATGCAAACTGAAAACTAACTTGAAACGGCTTTCCTTTTAAAAAATGACCTATTTAAAACGACGAAGAATTTTCAGCATCTCTTAAAAACAACTTAAATTTAAGGACTCACCATGTAGAGGGAACCTGGACCACCACCTTTGATCCCTCCAGGGTAATCTGAGGAGCATAGGCCTCCTTATTCTCGATCTGAGCCGTATCCACAACCACCTATTGGGAAACAGAAACAAGGCTCTCTAAGAATCCCCTTTCTTTGTTTCCACCATTGTAAATTTCAAACTCTACAGTATTTGCCCAAGTTAGACTTTAACCCATTCACACGTTTAGGGCTCGCCACACCCCACCCAGGCTTGAGCAGTGAGAGGCAGGTCAAGGTGAGGAAGCCGGCTGCTTTCCATCAGCCGGTGACAAACAGGCGAGCCTTCCTGCCTGCTCAGACTCAAACACATTCACCACTCCTCTGAGAGTGGCCTTGAATCCTCGAGGTTTGTGTAGGCCGGGTCAAGGAGAGGGAGGGAAGAAGGGAGGAGTCCATTTCCTGTATTTCAGGAAGTGACTCCCATTGTTATCAAAGAGGCAGGTGTATCCTTGAAAATCCCAGGCTGGCTGTGAGAGCCACGCATGGACACAACGTGTCAGCCACTTATGTCAAGGCATACACAACACGATGGATGGAAAAAGAAACAGAACATTATCACCTGTGGGGTGAACCCCATTGCCTATTGTGGTTGTACAGTTTATGCAGTGTCTGACTTTTAAATGGTGGAAGGAATTGAGGTGAGAATTTAGTATCAAACCAAATAATTTTGTCTCTTGTGTGGCTGCTTTTTAAGATTTCTATGTTTTGCATTAGTGAAATTCTCCAGTAAGTGTACATATGGTTGTAACATTGCCTAAGTCCTTTTCTTCTTTCGTAAGGGTTACAGTTAAAATGGGAGTCACCGTGCTTAGTGTTTCCAGGAACGGGGCAGAAAAGTTACTGTCATGTGAGGGTAAAAGAAAAAGGAGCCATAGTGTGCTGCATGACAGCGAGTATATCAGTGAAGTGTTTTTAAAGAGTGGGGAATTTATGTGTCGGTGCATACTGCTGTGTGATCTATTCTTGGGCTGAGCGACGATAGGCACAGATAAGGGGCTAATGCAAAGCGCTCATTCATCATCCAGGGATTGTTTTACAGTTCGCACTGGGCTGGGAGAGTTGGATGGAAACACTTGGTTTTGACGTACACCATGGGGAAGACCATGCTGAAGATAAAAATAAATAAAATAAAGAAGCATAAACACAGCAGTGTTACTCTAAGGAGAGTCCTGCCGTTAACCCCAACCCACACGCCCACGCCCAACCCCACCCCCCACCCAAACTTCTGCACCACACTTTTCTTCCCCGGCAGGGTGGGGGAGCTCTGTTTGTAGACCCGTCCAGGCAAGCACCATCCTTCATTCTGATACTGAAGGAATGTTTCTTCTGTTTTGTTTCTGTCTGGTGTTTGTTTACACCTCCCAGCAAGTGAACAGATCTGCTCATCTCCTTTACAAATCTAACAAACAAAGGGATGCAAGAGCCTCAACCCAGGGACACACCAAAGATTCCAAAACCTCTGCAGAAGCGTGGGTGAAGCCTAAAAGCATCCCATGGTAATATCCACTAAGACATATCTATTCAAACACAGACATAACTAGGATCAATGAAATGCAACAGAAGTCTTAGTTTTAGGGCATGTCTGTTCAAATATAAAGTCACATGCATTTAAAAGCAACATCTGTTCAAAAGTGAGAAAAGTCCCTCTTTTTTTTTTTTTTTTTTCTCTGAGCTCTGCTGACCTTCCCGGTCTCTGTCTTAAACATCTCCACTTACCAAACCAGCCTGGGCAAACAGCAGCTGAACAGCTGTCTTGCAGGCTCCTCTCCAGCTGGATGGGCAAACTTGGTTGAGGACCTCAGTGACCGGAGAGTCATCCCTGGGGGTCATTCCGTTCTGGCCCAGCACCTCCTTAATGAGCTGCAACATTGTGTGCTTAGGGCAACAACAAAAAAACAAGGACATTAACCTATTATCAACATCTGCTGGTGTGAGACAACCGTTACAAGAAAATTCAAATTAAATTAATCAAATTCACTCTTTCATGATTTATTGCCGAGTGAAAAAAAAAAAAAAAGACTGAAAACAACAACCACAAAAACAGGATGAGAGACGGGACACAGCCGAGACAATAATCACTCACAAATTAATAAGCTTTAACAGGAAATGAAGAAAAAATTTGAAAGTACCGTTTTCAGTTTGAGGTTTTCAGCTGCTGACTCGTTGAAGGACACCCCTTTGAGGAAGTGAGAGCCGATCTGCACGGGTATGGTAGGCAGCTCACACTGGATGGGCTGGGAGGGTGTCTGCATCCTTCCTGCCTGCTGAGCCTCAGCCTCGCTGCAACAGCCCTGCGTACACACACACACAAGCTTTAAATGCCACATTTCTGATCTGACTATTACACATTCTTTATACAGCATTCAATCTTAAGAGTCCCTCCAAATCAGTTTCTTTTATCTTTAAAGACTTTGACCTTATTATTGAAGAGTACACACCTGTAAGGCTCCCTCCACAGCTTTGGGATTTAGGTGAAAACCCGCCTTCAGTCCATACTCACTATGGCCCAAGCTCTCCAACGCTGCCCTGTAGGCCTGGGAGGAGATGAAGAAGAGCAGAATGTTGGTTCCATTTATTCTCTCTTAACTGTTTTTTTTTTCATTCCTACATTCCAAGGTTCATTAGGGGTTGTTCTTTCAAATAAAGTAGGTATTCCAAGAAAAACTTCAGCAAAAGTTAACATGAATAATCACATATTATCCCTACATTTGGTCAAGTTTTAATGGTGTTGCCTGGTCTGATGGATGCGCCCAAACTGTACCTGTAATGCACTGTCGATCTTCATGTTGAGCTCCTTCAGCTGGTGCTCAGGAATGGTGGTGTTGTTGGAGCAAAAGAGCTGCTGTACCTGGATGCCTGCCAGGCAGCCGTCCCGGCCCCTCTCTCTCAGCCTCGCTGTGGCCTGAGCACACAAAGATGCGCGGGTCAGACAGACAACCGGAACCACGACTTCACAACTACATTAAAATCTCACCATAATGCGAGTGATGAATGTACTTCATGGATGCATAAGAGGGAACAGGAAATGACCTTACAGCACTCGCACACAAGCAGTCTGTGCTGTTACACTATGTGCTCTCTTCCAACAAGTCAAACACTCTCTGTCGCCCAAAGAAGGACCAGAGAGATCGCTTAGCCAGGGGATAAGTCAAGCTTTTTTCCCCTTACAAAACAGCCTCCCTTACATGGCTTTAACCTCGAAGGGGCAGACTCAAAGAAACTCAGGTTCACAGACAATCTACTGCCCAGGAAAGAGGAAAGAGGAAATTGTGTCTGGAAATCATAAACGGCCGGTATTTCTCAGGAATGTGTAAGTCCCTTTTTCACCTCACACAGACAAACCCCACGTTTCCAAAGCCTGGACCTGGAAGAGTCCCGGGGCTGTGGCTGCATACCTCAGCTGCACCTTTCCATGAGCGAGAGGCTTCCTCGAGCTCTGTCAGGGGCCCCAGGTCGGAGCTTTGGGAGCGGGCGTTGGCACAGCGTTCCTGCGCTTGGGCGAGAGCTTCAGCCAGGCAGGACTGTGCCACGGGCTGGACCTTCTGCAGGGCCTGTGACAGAAACTGGAAATGGACCTGCATCACTGTGAGGAAGCACCGGCCCAGCACCTGGAGGGGGACAAAGCAGACGACTTTAACAACTCGCCACGAGGAACATCCAATTCTTGTACTGTCAAGAGTAGCTGCAGCAGGGCGTCTAACACACAAACAATGAGGATACCCACAGCTTACACGACTAACTAGACGCTCACATGCCACCGTGAAACAAGAGTAACCAAGATTTTGTCCTCCTTAGCAGCAAAGTTCCAAATAAGGTATGAAATCATGACTGAGTGGATTTATTACATTGGTTTTGTTTGTACGTTTGAAGGCCTGGTCAATACAAAACAGGTTCCCGATAGTTTTTTTTTTTTTTGCTATTTTTTTTGCTACATTTTCTTTCCTGTTTGTGAGAAACACCAGGCCTAACAACGAAACTGATGAAAATGTGATAAAGGCTCTGGTTCTGTGTATTGTGTTGAGCATTGCACTAGCGTTAGCAACAAACAAGATACAGTAGGGGGAAAAGATACTTAAAAGTCAAACTATTACATTGTACAAACATCTATCCCATTTTATCATCGGACCACATGACTGTCAGCAGACTGTCATCTGGCCACTCCTTTGAATAATAAAAAACATGAATCACTCATAAGGCTGTCTTACTCTATTGAGCATGTGGATTACAACCTCATCTCAGGTTCTTAAAGAATAAAAAGCAATAACTTAATAAGTTGACCTTGTTTCTAAACTGTTTCACAGAGCAACCATCACAATTCTCCATTCAGGGAAAGCCCAATTTGCTTTTAGAATATCAGACATTGTTCTGAAGAATAGTTCAAACATATTTGTTCGATAAAAACTTGTCAGGACTCATTTCAGTTTGCCAAACATACATGTCTATTTGCCTTTATGGTAAGAATTGAACTGTAAATAAATATAAATCACGATTAGAAGTAAAATATGCATTTGTATATTTGACAGAACATGCATGTCATTATTTATGTCTGAAAGACCATTTCCAGAGAACTTCTCAAGCATTCTGCTACTTTGCTGCTCTAGCTCTGTCGACATGTTAGCCAAAATTCATGGCTCTTTTTGGTGTTTTTTGTCAGCTGGTTAAATAGTTCTGCTTTGTCTTCCTGTTCACGCAACAGGAGTAGAGGGACACTTCAGGCTTTGCTATGGTCACAGGGTTTTCTTTTTCAGGTACTTGCTGAAAATATCTCGAGGGGTTGGATGAGTTGTGAGGACGGAAATATGCTGTCACTTTCTGACTGCCGACATGAACAACAGGACACATCCATTTTCAGTCGCCACGCCGGAAGACACTAATACCCCTCTATAACTGGACACAGGCATACAATTCCCTGTTTAAAATCCTCTCAGACTTCTTCATAAAGACTGATAACAGCCTTATATCTGACTGTGGAATATGCAACGTTATCCATCTCATTATTAACCCTCCACTACATCTTAGGGTATGATGGGCCCTCTTTTTTTAAAGGGCACTGGTTAGGTATTACAGTATTTTTAGTGTCCCAAAAGTCTGGGGCAGTTTTCGGAAATTTATCCAAAATCCTTTAAGATCTTTGAATTAAAGCCACATTTTTCCACCCTGTTATTGGCAGCAAAGAGCCAGAATGTCAACAAAGCCAAGAGAACAGATCCTCTGAACAAATGTTGTCCCAAGAGGCAGAAAGTTAGTAAACAATTCGATCTGAGAGACCGATGGAAAAATGCAGAAAAGGTGTTTAATCTTTGATCTGAACTATCAGAGGTAAGCCGCAAAGCAATCCATTTATAAGCTGAAAAATATTACTGATGTTCAGTTGCAACTCTCGTTATGACAGAAATGAAAAGATCAGATGATCAGCCAAGTCACTCAAATGTATTGACCTTATGCGTTTAAAAATACTTTTGAAAAAAAAGAAGTCTAGCCCTAAGTGATTAACTCTACCATTTGTAAAGTGGAATGATTTGCTCCCTTTCTACTCCCAAATCACCAAAAGGCTTGTTAAACACATATATAGGCATAGATCCACTGTGAACAACAAGCTCCTAGCCCCTGCTGTCAACACTCAAAACTGATCAGAAAAATGTAGTGTCTGTAAATAAGAGATAACAGAGGAAAGGTATTTCCTGTTCACATCACCACACATACACTGAATGTTCCAATTAACAAAAAATAAATAAACAAATACGTGAACACAACTCCACTAAGATTAAACACAGCTTCAAGTATTACAAAGGCTACAATAACCAAGCTAGTGAACAAAAACAACATGAAAACCAGGACATGGCTACAGCGCGAGATAATGGATAACACATGTGATTGGCTGCTCCGCATCCCATACAGTCATGGAAAATATGAGAAATAAAGAGTGCAGCAGGGCCAAGCCCATGTTGGCCCCTCTCACATCCAAACAAGGCCACTCGTGAATCAATCGCGCTTATATTTCTATTTTCTAAGAACACCTGCACTATCGCAGCTCCCATCTAGGAGGGCAGTGTTCCTGAAATCCAGTTCTCTTTTGGGTAATGGGAGAGTTATAATAACCAGATGGCTGCATGGTGGGGTTGCACTGCCATCTGATTTACAAAGGAACAAAAAAAAGCTGCATACCTGGGTTGCTTAATGTCAACAACAAAACTGTGTCTTCTCCTTATTTTTCCTCAGGAAAAAAATCCACAGTGGGTGGGAGTGGTGGTCCCCACATATGCCGACGTTCTTTAACTAAAAACCACTTAACTGAGGTATTTTGTTGTTTTGAATCAGTTCTCATTGGCTGAATAAATTGTTCTAAATTAAGGTGACCTCAGGAGGTCACTGCTTGACACAAAGAGAAAAAGGAACCTTTCCCTGGTCATAATCTCCACAGGTTGTCTACCTTCTCTGGTTTGAGCTTCAAACAGGGGGACACTAAGAAATACTGTTGAACCTACTTGTGAACCTATGCTGTGTGTTTTTAATCACCTACTCCACATCTGTTTAGCATTAGTAAAAACCCATTCCAATGTAGCAGCTCATCACATGCTCTATACTACAAGCTGTCCGTGTCTTTTTTTTTTTTCCACGCACAAGTCAGTCAAAAACAACTACAACAAACCACTCCCTCAACAGTTAGATCGGGTCTTTATAATGAGGACTGCATGTCACAAAAGAAACCAGCGACTGAGTTAAAAGGACAACAGAACAGCCTTTTCATACAAATCAGAGTCTCTCAGTTTGTGGGGACTTGTCTGTCTGCCTCTGGTCCGTCCTGTGTGGTTCAAACTCACAACTTCGGCAAACGGCCCCTAATCAAACCATGACATTTTCAAAGATATTTGGCAGTGGGGTCGCTATGTGCAGCCAAAACTGTGTTCTCTGCCTTTCAGGGGGGAGAAAAGAAAATAAGTAGTTTCTTCTACAGACTACAATGGCCTGAGAATTTGGGGCTGTTGGTAACAGAAGGGGGCAAAAAGAGAGGGAGAGAAGGAAAAGGAGGAGATATGAGCTAGAGAATGAAAGGGGGAAAGCTCCACATACCACAACTCCCCAAACTCAGAAATGTATTTGGTTCATTTTGAAGACCTCATAATCCATCCAGCTGCCAAACAGCATTCCTCCATTCAGACAAGACAAAAGAAAATCCCCTTTCCAGTCACAAACACATCACAGCCATACAGGCTGCCTGAATCAGCAACTATTTAAAAAACTATGTCCAAACATAATCTAAGTTACATGTTCTTTTTTTTTTTTTCAAATAAAAACTGCGCAAACCACAAGCTGCAGACTGATCCCAGACCCACACGGAGATGTACTGGTGCTTTGGCAAAAATAAGAAGATAATAAAAATTAGCCTGTGGAAGTGGAGTGTTTTTCATAAAGTTTATTACAAAGTGAGACATGAGTTAGTCTTCTGTGCTTTAACAAACGCCCCCTTTATGCCCGAGCACAGACAGGAAGTGCAAGTGCCAAGGCGTGCGGTCTCAACTTTCACAGACTTGGGCTTCCTCTAATATTTATCTGTGCATATCCACGACCACAGAGAGTCAGATTTACCGACTGTGGTACAAAAGTGTTTCCTGTTTTGGGCTCAGCCACATCCACTGAGGTTGTGCAGTCCCCTCATGGTCCTGGCGGCTGCCGTCAAACCACTCGCTGTTATATGATAATCCTTCGTGACCCTCCTGCACCGTGCGGCGGCACGCAAGTGCAGACTCCCTACAAGCTCTGCTTTTCTATTGTTGTGTTTAAACCCTTCAGTGCTGCTGAAAGGGGCATTTAAGTAGAAAAACACCTTGGTTATCCGATATTTGTGTGCATTTTAAAAATAGATTTCCGTCCTATGATTTGAGTAAATTTTAAGTTTTTGTATCACTTCATAAGAAAGGAGCGTTTGCCTGGAACTGATCTAAATTTTGTGTTTGGGCCAGGACGGGCCCAAAGTATTTGTGGAATTTTCCTTTTCCTCCGCGTTTACAAAATTAAAATCCCAATACATCACTTCGATTCTATCACCTCTTATGTAACTCGAGGTGCCTTTTTCCATGGCAGCTGTTAGCGGGATGGGCCCCGAATGTCTCACTGCTTGTTCCAGAGCCTATTAAATGGTCGATACCCAGTTAGACAGCAATCGTTCCAAAGATTTTCAGGTCAATCCAAAGGTTTCTCGGTTGTTGTGCAGAAATACACTCGCTTGGCACATGAAAAATGGTTAGTAAGCAACTCCACTTAGAGCAAAACTGACAAATCTAATTGCCACAATAAATTAGCAACAGTTATGTGTCTTCTGCTTCGATTTTAAATCTTGCAAAGGGGCCCATCTTGGACTTGTGTCATAACCTGTAATGACCCCGTGTTTAAGGCATGACAATGTCAACATAAGCTATACAACCAGCCTTCATGAACCTCCTGACCTGGGTTTAAAATGGGCTGCACATAGATTCAGAACAAAAGCCTGTGCAGGGGTATAAATGGGGGACTATCAAATGGAATTTCTTTTTGTAACTATTACGTTTCTCAACCAGTGGGGCTTAAAAAAAAACACTTCTGTCAATGTATTTTGTCTGTTTTTTCCTAAATGCAACTGGCAGCTCGTTCTTGTGTAGAAAGTTAGACTCTAAACTATCCGTCACAGATTACCAGCATCTGTGCATTTCCTGCCATGAGTTTAGACCAATGTCTGGGGGGTGGGGGGGAAGGGGGGAAAAAAACACACAGACCCATCAAGGAGGCAAACATAACGTGATACCACTTAACAGCTGATTTCGGGGTTGTATTTCCAACTTTAATTAAAAGCTCACGTGAACTACAGCATTTCACATTCTGCACATCGGCATATGCAGCCCTATGGAAACTAGGTGTGCTGTAAAGAGTGACAAAAGATGACTTCTCATGCCCTCATTGTTTTTCACACCTCAGCCAAACATATTGACACTAGCTTGACACTGGGCGTGAGAACCCCGTTTGAGCCAGGAAACACTGATTCATGGAGCCAGCCTTCTGACGCTGGCTGGCTAAGCACCTTAGCACCACCTCTAGAGGACAAGTCATGGATACACGAATGTGATAAAGCATGTAGCAGTTACCTAAACACATCGGGCTGTGAGTCCAACTATTGCTGTTTTCCAAAGGAGCACAGAGTTTACTCAGATGCCGTAAGACATTTTTAATGAAGCCAATATAATGTGACATAGTTATAAATATATATAAATTAGCTTAATATGAGTGTGTGTGAACATCTACCTCAACATCCTGCAGGCTGAAGTCGTTCTGGTCTTTAAAGTTTGCGGCCCCAGCACTCAGTTCCATCAGCATCTTGGCGATCTCGGGCTTTATTGCTGCAGTCAGCCTGCTGGCCGCCTCCATGACGTGTTCCTGCACGTCCTTCAGTTGCATAGCTGCTTTGGAATAGTGAGAGTTCCTGAACACACTGCTGAACAGGTCCGTGAGGAAGGCGCTGGCGCGGCAGAACACATTAAGGGCATCCAAATATTTCGAGATGCCTTGCTGGATGTCAGCAACAGCGGTGGTGGTGCCAGAGGGAGGTGGGTGGCAGCTGCCAGGCATGCCCACCCCGGTGCCCATGGGTGAAGAGGCGGAGCACGAGGAAGCCAGAGAGGCGCTCAGGGTTCGGCTAAGCTCAGGCATCTGGTACTGCTGGTGCTGTTGCACTTTCTGCTTGGACCCGCCGAGCAAAAAGCGACGCTTGTAGTCCATTTTACTTTCCTGTGCACTACAACAATACATAGGTGGTGCAACAGCACCGGAAGCTCCTGCTTGTTGTAATTTGCTTTTCTCAACAAAGTGCTCTTGTCTGCTTTACAAAAAACACTGAAACCAACAGTCCTGAAACTTTTAGTTAAGGAGAAGGGCTGCTCGACAACTCCCCCTGCCAGATGTTCATCTTAGAGAGCCTTGAAGGGAGGTAACACCAGTGTGGTTGAGACCAAAATGTGATCAGAAGCTGGCAAACTGAGCAGAATGTTTACATGCAGCCCTGCTGCAGATGCATCATTCCCAGCTTAAAAAAAATAAAGACACACCCCCTGACTGACTGTTTCCAGCTTCAAACAAAATGGTCATAATAAATGAGCTAAAGTATTACAGCCAAGTTGTAAAGTGCATTGACCTTCCTTCAGAATGAAGACAAAATAAATTCTTCTTCGTAGGGTATATCATACACACCTGTGCATTACCTATGGGATCACACACCAGCTTGCTTTAGTAAAAGTAGAAAACTCTTAAAAGCTGAACGCAAAAACAGATCCACAGAAATGACACATTGGTCAACAGCACAGACGGGAAATGACTATCTAAAAAAATAAATGCAGAGAATCAGAGGATGTGGCTTGGTGTTTTCTTGTCGATGAGCAGTAGGAGGCGATGGGTAGACAGATCCAGTCCGTCTCAAATCCTCTTCAAATCCAGGACTCTGCTGGCAGTGAGCGAGCGGCCAGCTGATAGCTCTGTCTGCCTGTCTGAAGTCTGTCTGAAGTCTCCAGCAGCTTCCTGGTGCGCCCTCCCGTCTGCTGGCTGAGGTAGATATTACTCACCGCGGAAACAAGTGTGCTTCCAGAGTTTGCCGTTCTCTGCGGATGCAGATTAGAGCGACAAAAGCACAAATGTATCTGTAAGGCCTCTAGGTCATTTCCTAAGAGAGGAAAGAGCAGAGGCACAGATGAGAAGGTTAACAACATGTCGAAGAGGAAGGATGAGCTTCATTTCAACCGACGCGTCCAAAAATAAGCTAGGCTGCTTTATGCATGTTAAAACCAATATATCTGTCTGGAAGTTATGAGGAGTGCTGGGATGTGCCCTCAAAACAACAGTAGGTCTATCAACAATTACGCATTGGTAAGAAACTTCAATTATTGGTCCCGCCTAGTCAGAAGTCACCATTCTTTATTTGACAACAGAGCCCACAAACACTTGGAACTGGACTGGTGTATTTAGTAAGAGCCTCATTAGAGACTAATTTATGGTCCATTTATAACTGATCTGCATTACTAGTGTCTCAACGTCCTCCGACGCTCAAACCCACCCAGAGTTGGCCTGTTAGAGAGCTGCTCTTCTTGTTTATAACAAAAACCTTGAATCAATCTTAAAAACTATGTCCTTTATCAATGTGTATGTTGCTGATTTGTTCTACTGAACACATCTCACCACTGGATGAAACTACTTCATAATTAGAAATTGCCAGCCAATTGTTTGGGTCCTGTTGACTTTGTCGTCTTTACCCATTTTCATCCCGTTATCATGAAAATAAAGTAAAAATCTTCCTTTGAATTTCTTAGTTTTCATTCGGCATTGCTGAAGCTACACTTCTTTGAACTCTTTCTTATTTTATTACACTTTAGTGCTACGTTTTGAAACGGAACATTTCCAGACGATTAGCAACATCCTACCTCACAGAGAGCGCCTCTGCAAATCTTACAGCGTCTGTTTGAGCAGAACACAGCTGCAGACAGAAATTCCTGCAAGACGCCATTGTTGGAACACACTGCGTGTCTGTTGAGCTACAAAAAGTAGGAGTAACAATACTCTCGTTCTGTTACTTGCCCTAGTCCTATTAGCACTTCCACTGGATTAGAAATACAATATCTTACATTGTCAAGATAAAAGGAGAAGCTGCCTCGCTCTTAAAGCATGTTTCAACGCAACTTCGAAAAATGGGAACACGCGACAACATAAATCAATAAGGTCCGTAGTAATTGCCAGAACAAGCACATTTACCCACAGAGCTCTGAGGTCTGCGTTTGGTCACTATCCTGCTGATAACAAGCCTGTAACGACAACATCAGGGGACGGCATCACTCTGCATTCACACACTGCGTTTTGTGTTTCTGCTAAACACTGCTGTCTGAGGTAATTAGGCTAGTGTGTCATTACAGCAGGTCAGTGGACGTCAACACCACACAGCAACACAGAGTAAGCACCAAGCTGAACAATAGATGCCAAAACTGTTCAACTGAGTTTCTTTGTCTGTTGAACAGGAGAGGACTTGTTTCGATGGGTTCGAAACAGGCATTCATAATTTGTTTCCACAGCTTGAAAATGGCTGATACCAGTGGAGTACTTGGGTAGCTTCATATCCAAACAGCTTGGTCTGGTTAAAACTAGCTTTGCGCTGTTTGCCCTTGAGCATGGTTCATCTGAGCTGATCTGAGACCTGCAAGTCAGGGTTGTAAACAAACAAGCCCCCAGCCTTTCAGAGCAGAGAACACAGCTCATTTCTCATGTTTTCAAAACTATTTTTATAGACTTGTTTTTTTCATAGAATGGTTTTATTCATTCATGCTTGGCTGGGTGACTAAGACATTTTTTGACAAACTCAGAAAGTTTTGTTCCTTCTGCTTTACTTCAACTCTACACTAAAGCATAAGTGTGTTAATCTGAACCAAAAACTAAATTTGGCCAATATTCTGATTCAGATCTATGGTGCAGTTACATGGCCTTAATTGAACCTGTTCCTCATAATGCAGGACCGCTGTTGGCACTGAAATCAAAACAGACAAACTTCTGATCGTATCAGAAGTTTGAGGGATTCTGAGCATCGCTCTAACTAACCAACAAACCTCTTTCTTCGACCCACAGCTCTCCACACATTCTGTAGAACATTTAAACATTACTGTGTTGTAGCACCGTGGTGAAACTTCGATGTATTGGGATGTATCAGGAAGAGCAGCTTGTGGAAAGAAAGCATCATCGACAGCTAGATAACATCGTTTAGCGCGCCATCACTGGAAAAACAACTGTGTCGCTGCCCTACATGTGAAGTGGCTTCCATTACACTTCTGTACCAGCACTGTTCCAACATTCAAACCGTACATCCTTTCACAAACAGAGGGGTACACCCAGAAAAAAAACCAAAGAAAAACCCACCCTTATCTGTCCTGGACCACAGACTGAGTTGAGGGTCAGGGCAGAGAGAAACTGCTGACCACATTATTCTTTTTAACCCTTACATTACAAAGAGATTAATTGTTCTTTTTCCCCACTGAACAATGAGCACATCCACTAAACACAGCTACCAACAGGGCTTTACATTGCTGATACAACATACTCTATCAATGTAGCGCCATTACCTCTGACAAAACGCCATTGTGTGTGCCAATACCTCAACATTAAACAGAGAACGGCAGTCAACACATTTTGATATAAATATGCTTTCCAGGTGCACCGATCCAATTTATCACAATGCATTAAATAAAGGCTTTCAAGAACATAAAATTCACTTTTCAGGTCACTTTTAGTCCACGTGGGTTATTCTTTATTATTCAGTCAACACAATCCCTTCCAAACTTCACTGTAGCTGTACTACTAGCGTGTTGTTGAGCAAACGCCACAGATTGAATTTGCTTACAACCACCTCCGTCTTTTTTTAATCATTTGTCTTAAAAAGAAAAAGCTAACAAGGAAATTGTATGTATATGTATATATATATATATATATATATATAACGAACATATATGTACATTTACACACACCTAACGTTCTTAAAGAGTGTTCCTTTATGAAAAATTTGCTGTCTTGTGCAACACAACAGAGCTTTAAATCCCAAGGATTCCAAACACCTGCAAGGTGCCTTGCAAAACCTGCTGGTTGACAATGTTAATGGGATATAGACCTCTGAGCGTAAACAGTAAACCTGAGCATTGCTAGCCTAAAGCCAACGACTGCAACCTACACTACATCACACCGTTCAGCTCAAAGATCGCTGTGACAGGAACAGCAGATCTGGGGCCAGAAATTTTTTATTTTTTATTTTTTTGTTTCTAAGTGAAACCATTCAACAGACTGTTAACTGCTCAGCACAAACTTAATACATGATGGCCATCAAACTATGCATGCTGATTTTAAGTTCCATCACCAAATCTTGATAGGCTAAAAACAAGGTAGCAACACAACCTGCTAGCCAAGCCAGGTCAGTGCCCGCAGTTACTCCAATTTGGCAGCACCAGTGATAAACCCATCTTTGTTCTGACAGACATGCAGTGACACACTTGGCATTCAATTCTTAAACTTGAATTTTAAACCTGCCACCTGTAATTTCAAAGGAGATTAAATTTATTTTAGATCTGCTGGCAACTCATTGTCTGTGCATGTGGGCACCAAATAAGAATTTAATTTCTTAAAGGAAAGCTGTGTGTAAAATTCTTAGTTTATGTCATTTACACTGAAACATCTGTACACAAGAGACAAAGTTGAGACCCAGCAAAGTCAAAGATTATGTTATCTAAGCAGAACTGCATAAAAATATATGTCAGCTTCTTCCAACGCTCCTCAATGTTCTCATCCATTCTAATGCTTCGCCCCAAATACATTGAGCAACTGTTTGCAAATGAGAAAAAAAACAGACCAAATGGAAGCCCTGGAGTGTTTAGTTTCTGAATTCCTATATCAAATAAGAAAACATACACAGCTTGTGTGACAGTCATTAAAAAGTTTAAAAAGCATAGATGATGCAACTAAAATACATTTTCTGTTGACTTCCAATTAGAAAGATTTAATGAAAGACATTTTAAACCATAATGTACTCCGGTTTGAAAACATGGCTGCTGTAAGTCAATAATAAATATGTTTTCTTTAAGCAATATACACTGAATTAACGGTATCCCATGCATCTAGATTTGGATTACATCTTCTAAAGGGAGATGCACCTACTGGTATTGAGAAGTGTTCTATTATCTGTATTCTATATTTAGCTCTGAACAACTAATGTAATCACATATTAAATGCAACAAGTCAGTCTATTCAACCACAACAACAATGAAGACTTTTTTTTTTGGGGGGGGGGGGGGGGTAAAAGAACATTATCTATGTAACAACGTTAGAGTGTGTCTGTGGTCTTCATTTCCTTTCTCTGGCAACAAAAGGCCACAAGCACAAGAAGAAGGCGCATAGAATCAATATCAATTAAGCCCAATGGTTTCTTGGGGCAGCTCTGTGAGCTCCCAGCCTCTTGTTGCAGAGCTCACTGGATTACAGTTTGCACCCAAACAAACACATGTGATGGAAGCATCTCTCCGGATGCACTGGAGTTTTGCCAGACCACTTCAATGTCCCTCCTTGAGCAGGCGCTGCCTCAGGCTAATGTTAGCTCTGCTTCCCCACTCACTGTGTATGTCAGCTGCTTAGCTTCAACAAGAAGGGGGTTTAGGTTTCCTGTAGCAAGCTCCCTGTCGCCAGCAACAAAAACGTCTGGCAAAATATGCCACTGGATATGGTTATGTAGCTAATCCTCATACCAAGTTATTTACCTGGGTGCTCAAACACACAGCAACAACACACACTTTAGACTAGTTACCCTTAATAATGATAAAATTATATGTATATATATTTTTTAATGGAGATGTCAGACAGCTTTGTGAAAAGCCCCTTATTTAACTCAACTCCGAACAAAAAATCTGACAGATTTGCTTTCATGAACTAGTCAACCCTCCCATCACTAGTCCATTTATGTACCATCTAGGACATTGTTGTTCTCAATATCCACAGCGGTAACTTAAGGATATTCAGCTAGCTTTTAGTGACAGTCACATCGCAGCTAGGTGGAATAATAACTGGGGATGAGGCAGCTGTTACACATGCTGACAGCTCCTTATCCATCTGCCACTGCGTAGCAAACACAAGCCCTCTGATGCTGAAGCCA